ATCGAATTTATCTGAAGTAATAGCTAAATATAAACCAAGATGAAATATAGATCTGTATTTTTTTTATCAGATTTTATATTTGTCTAAAAGACAGAGGGTGAAACCAATGTAAACTTAAAAGTTAGAACTGATCAATTTGATTAATATTTGGACATACATATGGCCTTAAACTCTATAATTAACCTTTATCCTGGCATTTTGGTTGAGCTTTTATATAGGTTGGTACATTAAGTTCTTCTTAATCAAAAACACTGCATCAGTGAAAAAGGGTGTTGTTTTTTACTGCCATGGTTCCAAACTAATACTTCAGATTAGTCAGTTATTTTGTTCTGGTATATCCATAGGTGTTTCTTGGGATTTACTAAAGTAGATTAAGTTTAAGGCAGAGGGATTTTACCATACACCCAAAAGAACTGACTTAATCCATGTTGTTTTGGGGTATCTAACTACAAAATAATCTGTTTGTGACGGACTATCCCCCTTTAAATAAATAAAATTGTGCCCCTCACCTCTGCTAACCTTATGCTGTAGACCCTCAAGGACCCTAATTCCCTTCTTATGCTTACAAGATTTACTGTGTTCTTTGTGTTTATAAAGCATGTTATCTTATAAATGTGCATATATATGTAACTTATATAATGTTCACAATTAATATACGAGCCACGGTGCTGAGCTCAGACCAGATGTTTATCATTTCTGCCTTGATAAGCCACGAAATGTTATTGTTGGTATCTATCTGCAATTTGCCATGGAGGCAAAGCTGACGTTATCGGTTGTGTGATTTTTTGTTCAGTGTGCCAATATCACATGGAAACGGGAAAGATGGCATTTGTATAAATATATTTTTCATCTTTATTCCAACTGAAGCTCAAACCCGCTGATGATTTTTCAACTATCAAGGTAACTTTACTAACTCTTTTGCATTTTGTGAACAAGTTGTCTCTAAATATATCAAGTAAATAAGGCTTTGATTATCTAAACAAAATTTATTTTCAAATGTGACTGGTGGAATTAGTGCAAAGTTGACAGTAATTATTTATTTTACCACTGGCTTTTAAAATATTTATTATTGTAAATCACAAGCATATTTATTTCTAACATATTGCCAAAAGGAGAGAGAGAGAGAGAGAGAAATGGGGTTTAACGTCCACTTGACACAAACTAGGTCATTTCGGGACTAACATATGGTTTAATTTTATTTCAATAATTCGCTTGCGCATAGGGGTCTTTAGCAGTGGGAGGAAACCGGAGGACCCGGAGAAAACCCACAAGGTTGGACAGGCGACCCTAATCCTTGTCACGTACAACTGGGGATTCGAAACCACGCCAGTTGACTCAATGACAGGCTTTATGATACAGCACGCACGTGCTAACCATTCGGCCATCCAACCCCCCAATTGCCAAAGGAATATCCGTCCAAAAATTGTTCAATTATGTACAGTATTTACAAAAGTATTTTAAAGATACATTATGTAATATTTAGATAAAGAGCTGGTCTTTCTTACTATAATAGTTCAAAAATAGATAATGCAAAATGAATATATTGAAAATTTCATTTAAGGTACTTTATTCTGGGCAAAGATATAGGCTGATAATAGCCTTTGAAGGTTTGACAAATTGTGTGCACCTATTGTAACCACCGTACTGGTTGTTCGAAGCTTAGCCTCGCTTCACCATTTTTAGATTAAATTATTAAATGGCTGAACCGTTCTAATCTACTTAAAATGGGACCTATCCGATGGCATCGAGACTTGATTATGGGCTTGTCATGTTAATAAATGTCTAATTAATAGTTTATATAACATTTCAGGCCTAAAGAAAGACCTGTAATAGGCAGATTAAGCTCTTGCATAATGTCTGTTTAATAAAAGAATGGTAAATGAAGCATTATTCGGCATCCTATAAAAGATAGGTTCCAAGGCAACGAAACAAGTGCCAACACCAGCTAAATGATCTGAGCAGTCGACAAGGGTTGCTGTATAATTATTCTTTCGTAGGTAATGGGAGCATTTACAAGACACTGATTTCAAATTCATACAGATCTGTTGATAACTTTAGTCGTTAGAGCATTCACAAGGTTCTACAAGGTGAACAAGTGTCATAACTCTACATGTTGTGAACAAATTGCTGAAATTCAGTAGGCTTTTTTGTTTTAAAGTAGCTAAGTCTCCACCTCAATATCATCCAAAATCTTCAACATTGAAAACACAATTTATTTGTCACATTAAATCAACATTCATGTTGTGATCTTACCGGAAAAAGATGATCTTTTGATATCCAATATTTAAGACAAAATAAACATTTTACCATTGGTACACGAGTCGTGTACCATAATGCGCTTCAGCCCCAGTTGTATCAAGAGACTCGAGGGACGAGGGTAGACACATTGCACCAAATCAAACGGCGTATGTAGACTGGAATAACCAGACGCTGGAAATTTGCACTCACTTGAGACTGCTGGCTTATTTCGCAGAACATAACTGATTTGAAATTGGAGTAAAAACCGAAACCATTGAATGTAAATCAGTTTATATACATTCATATTACAGTATTATATGCGTAGCGACCCACTTTTGTCAATTTCTAGGTCGCAAATGTTAGCGATTTAGCTCCTTTAATATTTTAAATAATATATATAAATTTAATACAGATCCTATGATAACTTTTACAAGTTTCAACAAAGGCCATAATTCTAGATGTTATGTACAAAAATTGATTATATTCAATAGGCTTCATCGTTTCCCTAATCTAAACAAGCCAACAGTGAGGCTGATGTCCCCCACCAAAATCCCCAAATAAATAGATGACACATATTAATTAATCGCACATCTATTTTTTTCAAAAGTATCAAGCAATCAAACTGATTATCAACTATACACTAAGTTTCATCACTCTCTATCAGATAGAATCAAAGTTAGCTTGTCCCAAAGCATCGGCCAAGGAAATTGCTTATCTCTGCTTAGCGTTAGCTCGATATGTTAATCAATGTCAAGACGAACATCTACATGAAGTTTAAACATTCTACCTCAATTAGAAGCAGAGTTGCTATATTCCAAAGTCTTGACCAATCAAAATGTTTATTGTTCCTTAGCCTAAGCAGAAAATTATCATCATCAAACTTAGTCAAGGTATTGATGTAATGAAACTATACACTTAATTAGAACTAAAGTCATCGTGTCCCAAAGCATCAACCAATCAAATTGCTTATCTCTGCTTACCCTAGGCAGAAAATGCTCATCTTCGCACTCCATCAAGGCACTTATCCCAAGTTTGAACATTCTAGCTCAATTAGAAGGAGAGTTATTGTGTTCCAAAGTGTCGACCAATCAAATGCCCAATATCGAACTTAGTCAAGGTATTGATGTAATGAAACTATACACCAAGTTTCATCACTCTCATTTAATTTGAACTTAAGTTATCGTGTCCCAAAGCATGAACAAATCAAATTGCTTATCTCTACTTACCCTAAGCAGACAATGCTCATCTTCACACTCCATCAAGGCATTGACCTAATAAACACCTACACCAAGTTTGAACATTTTAGCTCAATTAGAAGGAGAGTTATTGTGTTCTAAAGTCTTGGCGAATCAAATTGCTTATCGATCTGCTTACCCTGAGCAGAAAATGCTCATTATCGAACTTAGTCAAGGTATTGATGTAATGAAACTATACACCAAGTTTCATCACTCTCACTTAATTAGAACTAAAGTTATCGTGTCCCAAAGCATCAACCAATCAAATTGCTTATCTCTGCTTACCCTAAGCAGAAAATGCTCATCTTCGAACTCCATCAAGGCAATGACCTAATAAACACCTACACCAAGTTTGAACATTCTAGGTCAATTAGAAGGAGAGTGATTGTGTCCCAAAAAGTGTGACGGACAGACGGACGGACGGACAGACAGACAAACCCATTTTAATAGTCCCCTGCTTTCTTCTTCTTCTTCGAGAGAGAGATGGGGTTTAACGTCCACTCGACACAAACTAGGTCATTTCGGGACTAACATATGGTTTTAATTTTATTTCAATAATTTGCTTGCGCGTAGGGGTCTTTAGCAGTGGGAGGAAACCGGAGGACCCGGAGAAAACCCACGAGGTTGGACAGGCGACCCTACTCCTTGTCACGTACAACCGGGGATTCGATGCTTTCTTCGAAAGGCGGGGGATAATAATGCATATCAATTTAACAAGGTTGTACAAAATGAAACAAGGACAATTATTGAAATTAAGATTGAATAATAAATGTAGTCTGTAGATTTTTCACAAAAAAATTATGGACGACGGACGAAGGAGATGACAATATACACCCACATGAAAAGCAGTGTCAGGTAAAATTTTTTGATGGGCTTCTTTTTTTATCTGATAACAAACTGGCAGACTGTCTACCATTGATATTTTAGTATTGTTTTTTAATTAAATGTTTATCAATTTAAGTACATTTTGGCATGGATTATGCTGTGATTATGTCCAGAAATGCATGATAATGATCTGTGACTTTAAAATATCTTTTATTGCCCTTTTTTATTTTAGTTTATTTTTGGCATACCAAAAGAAAACTGTCCATGACAACTATTTTCCCAGAAACAACAAGATATAAGGTAAACAATGTTCTAATCCTTCTTGCTGTGTCTTGATGGTTATTCTAAATTACAATTCAATATTCGCTGATTCCAAAATCCTAAGAAACTTCAATTCAATGCAGAGAAATCATTATTTTATTTTTATTATGGACTTACTCTTCCTTCCATCTTACTGTTCTAGACATTTGTACCACTGGAGAGGAAACACTGTACAAAGCATCCACCTGCATACCATGGCAGACAGTAACACGTACAAAGCATTCATCTGCACACCATGGCAGACAACAACACATACTAAACATCCACCATGACAGACAGTAATTCATATAAAATATTGTAAATATTTGTACTTTTATTTCCACAAAAGTCACAAACAGCTAAATTAGAATGTAGTAAAAGTACAAATATTCATGTTTTTACCTATATTTATTATCAGTTCCACCACCATTTTTGTCCTTTTGTTTTTTTGATTCTCCTGAATTGGTAGACCATGCATCAGTAAAACTTTCAAACTGGTTATCAAAACTCAGCGAACCTGAAGAGAAAAACAAGCGGTTGCCATGCAAAATACGCACAAATTTTGCAAAAGATGGATGGAGAAAAGGGAAAATCAATAGGGTTCATCCTTTCATCGTCCCAATACTTCCCATCGAATTAGAAAAGTATATGTTAAAAACTGTACCCTGTATCGCCTTCGCAAAATTTTCAAAAAGGGGGACAACTTCTGAACGGAAGGTCACAGATTGCTGAATATAGACTAGGTTCGTTCTCTTGTGACCCCAATGCTACACACCAAATTGGAAACAAATTCGTTAAAACTGTAGCCCCTATCTCATTCCGGGTAACTCACATTAAGGGAAGGTTGAGGAATTCTGAATATCAATAGGGTTTGTCCTGTCATGAACTCAATCAGGCCTTAAGATCTGAAATTCACAATGCTTTTTATAACTAGTTTACATTAAATTCAAACTCAAAGTATGTATAAATTATAAATAAACACTGTTTATATAGGCTAAATGTTCATAATAAAAAAAAGCATGAAAAAGATTACCATTTCTTTAGATATCATACATGTGTATGTCCAATTACATTTCAACAGACAAGAACGTCATTTTTGCAATGCCACAAATTTATTGTATTGCTTTAGAACAGTGGGACAAGCTCAAATTACATTTACATTACGTGTTGAGGGCATACGATCTAGTCACTAGTGGTACATTGTAGGTAGTCAACCAAACTTTGACACAACGATACTGGGCTTCCAATAATGCTTTTCAATCACAAATTATGCCATGTAAAGTCAGCTTGTGTGAGCATATTATTCATTTACTATCAAGTTACAGGAAATAATGAACAAGAACTAGCCTCTCTTTGATAGATAATAAAACTACATCGTATCCACAGCCATACCGCTAAATCGCTACTTATGATTGGCTACTATTTTTGGAATTAGATAGAGGCTCTAATGGAGAAAAAATCATTAGATTAAATCACTGTATTTTGAAAATGTTTTTGGTTTTATATTCTTTTAATTATTTTTAACATAACTGTCAGTTTTTTAAAATGTAGAAATGCGCATCTAGGTATTCTTTATGACCGATCAAAATTTCACGCTTCCTTCCAGCCTCGCATGTGTTTCTTCAGGAAACGCTCATTAAATTGATAATTCCATGTCTCGAGGATAACTTTTCACCTGAATAAATGAACAGCGATGTGATGGTGACATCGAAAATCGACCCGGGACTTTGTTGGGAGAATTCATCAATGGTTTTGGGGACAATGTCACATACTATTTTTAGCCCAAAGATAGATGTTAATAAAACTGAATAATTTGTTGGCGCGATTTGTGTTTGCTAGTGTTCGTCAAATATCAAGGCCTGCCCAATGCGTCACCAAATTTGAAAATCTGTTAGAAAAAAAGTAGCCATAAACCTGTTTACAAGCTGTTTAGAAAAATTTTGTTCATTATGATTATAATATTTAGTTATAAATATTAAAATTTGATTAAAATTGTAAATAAATATAAATTTGTAGCTATAGGTGTTATTTAAGGACTGTATACTACTTCTGTGCCTCCGGCAGTTTGAGGCAGTCTAGGGGGCAGTAGTTTATAGCTCCTTATTCCGTATTACAGGTTCAAGGATTGAAATTTCTTCACAATAATTGATCCCTTACCAAATTTATCATCTTCACTATCACAGTCATAAAATTCATCATCATCTGTATCATACTTTCTAAATGATGATCGTCTGGAGGTTATAGATCGCTCTAATTCATGATGTTCCATAGCTAACGCTCTCAATGCTTCCTGTAAAACACGGCACCTTTCTTTTTCTTCTTTTAACTGTAGTTTTTGGAGCTGTAACAAAAACCAGGATGAATGACAATTAAAGGAAAAGTTGCAATCAAAATCTGAATAAACAGCAAATTTAAATGAATCTGTTAAAATACAGCAATAATCTGCAAAATTCTATTATTTGCCTGAAAAAAAACCCCCAACAACCCCAAAACTGCAAATTTAGCAGGAAATTGTCACTGCCCATGCGTCTGGAAGTTTATCCAGGCTAGTTAGTAAGCTTGTCTCCATCCACAGCAGACAATTGAATGTTGGTATTCCTTTGAAAACGTATAAACAGAACTTCAGATAGTGGTTTTAATGAAGTGAAATGAAATGGGGTTTAACGTCCTACTGTTCTGCTCTGACTGGGCTAATGAAGACGTGTAAACGCCATACAGTGTGTTATTCGCTTTTTTTTGACTAGACAGCTGTACTGTGGCCTATTCTTATTTTGAATTCCAACTGACACGGGTTCTTTTACGTGCACTACAATGTGTACACGGGACCTCAGCATTTTGTCCCATCTGAACAACTACGTTGTCCCTTGCCAAGCCCTCTGTCCTGTGGCCAACACCAGAATCGAACACAGGACTTCCAGGTTAGCGAGCCAACTTCTTAATCAGTGAGCCACCGTGGCTCCCCTAGTGGCTTTAAATGAGAATAAAGGCATCTAAAAGAAGAGAGAGAGAGAGAAATGGGGTTTAACTTCCACTCGACACAAACTAGGTCATTTTGGGACTAACACATGGTTCAATTTTATTTCAATAATTCACATCCGTGAGGGGTCTTTAGCAGTGGGAGGAAACCGGAGGACCCAGAGAAAACCTACGAGGTTGGACAGGCAATCCTACTTCTTGTCACGTACAACCGGGGAATCGAAACCCCGGCAGTTGACTCGATGACAGACCGTATGATACAGCGCACACGTGCTAACCATTCGGCCATCCAACCCCCCGTCTAAAAGAAGACACCTACACAGAATTAATCTTAATCACTGATATATATCTGTGAATTCTCTGTTAAATTAATTTTGGGTCTATAAAGTAGGTACAGTTATCAGCAGTTGACAAAATTTTGTTTTTATAAGAAATTTGAATATACTGGGTCAAATTAATTTCTGATCTTATTTTAGTAGATAATTAAACAAGTTATCGAACCTCTTCTTGTTGTACAAATACAGTCATACAATGTGATAAAGAATCACACATCTCTCTTGATGACTCTAATATAGGATTTAACTGAGTTTTAATAGATTTCACATCATCTAAAATACATAGGCATTACATTTACATATTAATTGAACAGTTTATATATTGAATACAAAACAAGAGAAAGAGAGAGAAATGGGGTTTAACGTCCACTCGACACAAACTAGGTCATTTCAGGACTAACGCATGGTTCAATTTTATTTCAATAATTCACTTGCGGGTAGGGGTCTTTAGCAGTGGGAGGAAACTGGAGGAACTGGAGAAAACCCATGAGGTTGGACAGGCGATCCTACTCCTTGTCACGTACAACCAGGGAATCGAAACCATGCCAGTTGACTCAATGACAGACCTTATGATACAGCGCGCCCGTGCTAACCATTCGGCCATCCACCCCCTCCCCCTCCCCCTCACAAAGCAAGAACTCTTGATACCGTTTCAGGTATTTGTATAGCAAAATATGTATACTTTTTACAATGCAAATTTCATCTATAATACTGAATTCCAATATATGTATGTAGTGATGTTAACATCCAAGATGTTTTTACTACTTCCAGAACTTTTGAAATAGTGAAGTGAAGACTAATTTTTTTTTTTCATTTTAGATGGCGATACAGTTATTAAAATCAAGCAATCAATATACATGTACTTATCACTCTGCTTAACCTGAGCAGAAAATGCTCATAATATCAACCATTGTCAAGGTATTGATTTAATGAAACTATACACCAAGTTTCATGACTCTCACTATATGAGAATCAAAATTATTGTGTATTGTGTTCTAAAGCATTGACAAATCAAGATGCTTATCACTGCTCATCATTGAACTAACTCAGGATATTCATCTAATGAACGTCAATGCTAACATTGTATCCTAATTCGAAACAGAGTTATTGTGTCAGAAAAGGTGTTACAGATAGAGAGACAAACCTATTTTAATAGTCCCCTTAAAGGACAATATTGGTGTCAGTCATTATCACATATGTGATAGAACTAATTAAACACGTTCGAAATATAATTTTAATACAGAGATCATTGCTACGATAGTTGAGTAATACAGGTTTCCTGAATCTGAAGTGACGAACACCAAAGGAAAACACGAGTCATCCCTCTATATAACTGACGGAAGTGACGAGTGATAACAGATACATGGGCGAATTTCTGCTAACTAATAATTCCTTCCAAGACCAAAAGTTGTTGTGTGAGACTGTGAGAGGATATCTGACAATTCATAAAAAGAATTGACTGCTACTAGATAAGAGAACCCGAAAGAAAAACAGAAAAAGTCTGTGTATACCATGTTTTTATAAGGTATAGAATGAATATAAACAAGGGAATGTACGGACAATTTCCCTTGTGTTCTCTTATCTAATGACATTCAATTACTTTATTGAATTGTCACGTATCCTCTTACAGTCCAATATAACAACTTTTGGTCTTCAAAGGAATTATTAGTGAGCAGAAATTCGGCTGTGTATCTGTTATCACTCGTCACATCAGTCAGTTATTATAGAGGGATGACTCGTGTTTTCCTTTGGCGTTCGTCACTTCCAATTCAGGAAACCTGTATTACTCAGCTATCGTAGCAATGATCTCTGTGTTAAAATTATATTTGGAATGTGTTTAACCAGCTCTATCACATATGTGATAATGACTGGCACCAATAGTTTCCTTTAATTCTCTAAAGGATGGAACAAAAATAATAATCAGTATATCTCATGTGGTTTGGGTTTCATAAATATGGAAAACCCCCTAAGAGGTGGAAGTTACCAGTCGATTTATTAGTTGATTCTACTACTTCAATACTTCTATGTAATTTACTAACATGAGTCTCCAACACCTTTTGAGCAGCTTGAGCATTCTGAATTAAAATCAAACAATAGGCAATTTAAAATACACAAACAAAATGGAACAACAAAAAAATTAGGGAGATTTGACAGCTATTATTTTATTTTACAGTAATATCCTAATTTTTATATATTTTTACAACAAGTTTGAATATATTGTTAACACCTGACTGCACGTGTAATTCTCTTATATAATTATACAAATATCAGTACTGAAATGTATTGTTCATGAAGTAATCTTTAGACCACTGTGTATTTGCTAAGACTACTTTTTAATGTGTCTGGAACTGAAAGTCTATTTTAGCGTTTTAGTCTGTAATAATGACGTGTCCTTAATAAGAAACATTATCAGTTTAACCATAATTATGCAAAAAGAACTGTTAAATATCGGATGATTGCTATTATTGCCATTTTGAGATCTGACGGTAAAGCAAGCAGCAGGCACTTCACACTTAGTCTGAAATGTTCAAAAACAAAATTAATTTCAAGTACTTACCTGTAGGGCCTCTAACATGGTTCCTAAGGGCATTAATTCTTCCTCTACTTCACTCAGTACTTCTCCTTGGTGGGTGTAATGGGTACTAAAGGCAATATGTTCTTTTAAAGCTGTTAACCATTTCTAAAATTAATTTCAATCCATCTTAAATAGTTTACATATGAAGAAACAGTAATGCTCTAGCCATGGTACAATGGTGTAAGCCTTCAAACTCTTTTTAGTATTACTGGAGTCTCAAAATCTAAAGAAATTGTTCTAATTATCAAGGCATTTGGAAATTATTTGTAGAACTAGTCACAGGCTACATATTGTGAAATGCATCAAATTCTTTGTTTTCATATTTTCACAAATAATAGGATATCTAACCAGTGATTTAAAAATCTTCAAATATTTGGACTAATTCCATAGCGTACCTGTTTTGAAACCTGAGAACCATTACCAGCCTCTGTATTTAAATTATGGACGGTACCATCAGAAAAACAGATTCTAAATTCCCTAACACCAATATTCTCTTGTAATCTAGCTTCATCTAAGTATTTCATACCTTTTCGTTTGCTACCTGACACAGCATCACCTCTAAAACAAAATTGTATGCAAAAGTGAAGAGTTTTATTAGGATATAAAACTGGTGGCTAAAATCAGCTCTAGACAATGTCATACTTGGCATACTGGCAGTTGTTAATTAAACATGAAACAATTGGCATTTCAGATTGTTCAAGATAAACTAATTTAAGTCTGATTAATGAATAACAAGCCAACAGTGAGGCTGATGTCCCCCGCCGAAATCCCCGAATAAATAGATGACACATATTAATTAATCGCACATCTATTTTTTTCCAAAGTATCAAGCAATCAAACTGATTATCAACTATACACTAAGTTTCATCATTCTCTATCAGATAGAATCAAAGTTATCTTGTCCCACAGCAGGAAATTGCTTATCTCTGCTTAGCTTTAGCTCGATATGTTAATCATTGAACTCAGTCAAGACGAACATCTACAACAAGTTTAAACATTCTACCTCAATTAGGAGAAGAGTTGTTGAACTCAGTCAAGACGAACATCTATATCAAGTTTAAACATTCTACTTCAATTAGAAGAAAAGTTTGACCAATCAAAATGCTTATTGCTCGTTAGCCTAAGCAGAAAATTCTCATCATCGAACTTAGTCAAGGTATTGATGTAATGAAACTATACACCAAGTTTCATCACTCTCACTTAATTAGAACTAAAGTTATCGTGTTCCAAAGCATCAACCAACCAAATTGCTTATCTCTGCTTACCCTAAGCAGAAAATGCTGATCTCCGCACTCCATCAAGGCATTGACCTCATAAACCCCTACACCAAGTTTGAACATTCTAGCTCAATTAGAAGGAGGGTTATTGTGTTCCAAAGTCTCGGCCAATCAAATTGCTTATCGCTCTGCTTACCCTGAGCAGAAAATGCTCATCATCGAACTTAGTCAAGGTATTGATGTAATGAAACTATACACCAAGTTTCATCACTCTCACTTAATTGGAACTAAAGTTATCGTGTCCCAAAGCATCAACCAATCAAATTGCTTATCTTTGCTTACCCTAAGCAGAAAATGCTTATCTTCACACTTCATCAAGGCATTGACCTAATAAACACCTACACCAAGTTTGAACATTCTAGCTCAATTAGAAGGAGGGTTATTGTGTTCCAAAGTCTCGGCCAATCAAATTGCTTATCGCTCTGCTTACCCTGAGCAAAAAATGCTCATCATCGAACTTAGTCAAGGTATTGATGTAATGAAACTATACACCAAGTTTCATCACTCTCACTTAATTGGAACTAAAGTTATCGTGTCCCAAAGCATCAACAAATCAAATTGCTTATCTTTTCTTACCCTAAGCAGAAAATGCTTATCTTCACACTCCATCAAGGCATTGACCTAATAAACACCTACACCAAGTTTGAACATTCTAGCTCAATTAGAAGGAGGGTTATTATGTTCCAAAGTCTCGGCCAATCAAATTGCTTATCGCTCTGCTTACCCTGAGCAAAAAATGCTCATCATCGAACTTAGTCAAAGTATTGATGTAATGAAACTAAACACCAAGTTTCATCACTCTCACTTAATTGGAACTAAAGTTATCGTGTCCCAAAGCATCAACCAATCAAATTGCTTATCTCTGCTTACCCTAAGCCGAAAATGCTCATCTTCGAACTCCATCAAGGCATTGACCTAATAAACACCTACACCAAGTTTGAACATTCTAGGTCAATTAGAAGGAGAGTTGTTGTGTCCCAAAAAGTGTGACGGACGGACGGACAGACAGACTCATTTTAATAGTCCCCTGCTTTCTTCGAAAGGCGGGGGACAAAAAATATCAGAAGTTCTTCTTTAAATAAAAGGCCACATTAAATTCTCCAGCTGGTCAATTTTACTACCAGTCAGACAAATATGAAATGAAATGGGGTTTAACGTCCTACTGTTCTGCTCCGAACTGGGCTAATGAAGATGGGCATACACCATACAGTGTGCTATAAGGGAAATTTTGGCCGGACAGCAGCACTACGGCCTACTCTTATATCGAATTCCATCTGTCAAGGGATCTTTTACGTGCACGCCAATGTGTACACGGGACCTCGGTTTTCTGTCCCATCCGAACAACTAGACAGCTGTCCTTGTCAGGCCCTCCGTCCCAGACAAATATGACTGAAAAAGGAGCCCTACTATAAACCATGCATTATACTAAAGAAAGATTACCCCAAATTAGTTTGCAACCCAGCAGGGATCAGACTACTGTTTAAAATAAAAAAATTATTTACCGGTTCTGAAAATAGGATAACACCCCTTTTTCTAGTACCGCATAAAACATACGATATCCAAATAATTTTGATTTCTAGAATAAAAAAAAAGAAATGTTGACTGTAAACCTTGAATTCTTTTTAAAAAAAACCAAAGTGTACTATCAAAATGCATGGAAATAAGTTACATGAAATATCTAAATTCACTGTAAAGATATTAGTTTTCCAGGGTCTTGTATTAAGTAGATTTATATTTCTCTCAAACAATGCACAAATGTTATAATTTGATAAAAGTATCTAACCTTCCAGACCAACGTAAATTTATATAAACGGTATCAATACCATTAAAACAAAATTAAAGATGAAGTTATCTTCTGTCGACAATTCATTTTTATTTATTTTTTTCTTTTAAATGAAAATGATTAACCTAAATTGAAATCTATACCCCAGTATTAAAAATATTTCAGTGAAATATTAATAACAGCTTTTAAAAGATGCACATTGTATTATTGTTAGTTCAAAAATTATGTCATTTGTTCAAGTAATGGACTTTGTGGTGTAAGGGAAGATAATAGGTAAAAGAAGAGTTACTCCCCTTGAGCTGTATTTCATCAAGAGGATCTTTATAAAATAGTTTTTAAAAGAATTTATAGAACAGTGTATGAAAAGAAAACTTTTAATAAAGTAATAATTTAGACTCACTTTAAATATTTGACCCTCACAACGCTGAGGAATCCTTTTAAGGGATTTGATTGGCTGGACATCTAGCAATTGTTTCATCTGATTTGTCTTTGTCATATCTGATGCCAATTGCCCTGAAAAACATATATTTAAAGATACATTAGTTAAGAGCTAAATATGCCTATTGCAAGTCTTTCTATGGTCTTCAAATGTTATAGAAATTATTAATTAACCCTTTTTTTCACACAATAAGCCCAAAATCAAGTCTTGGATAGAGCTTGGATTTAAACAGTCGTCCATTTAATAATTAAATCATTAAATGACTGACCAAGCTGACATGTACCTTTAATCACTGACATTACTATTGGAGCTGCCGAGGAAAGGACTGATAGTCGAAGGTACCATAGGCATTGAGAATGTTACTTGATAATGGAGAGAGGGAGAGAAATGGGGTTTAACGTCCACTCGACACAAACTAGGTCATTTTGGGACTAACATATGGTTTAATTTTATTTCAATAATTCGCTTACGTGTAGGGGCCTTAAGCAGTGGGAGGAAACCGGAGAAAACCCACGAGGTTGGACAGGCGACCCTACTCCTTGTCACGTACAACCGGGGGTCCGAAACCACGCCAGTCGACTCAATGACAGACTTTATGATGTACTTGATAATGGAGAATATGTGGGCTGAGTTATCGTCGATCAAACGATCGGCTATTCTTGGACATGGTGCGGAGATGGTTTATGCCTATTTCTAGTCAAAACTTCCAACAATGATAACTTCGTTCAGAATAAAGTAATTTGACTGAAATTTCTAATATTTTCTTTTTTTATCATCTATTTTTGAACTGTTATATTAAGAATGACCAACTCTTTATTAAAATCTTAACTAATGTATCTTTAATTTAAAAAATAACAATCACATATCGCCTCCAATGTTTACTTGGCCAGTCATCCTTTATCATAAGCGTTTACATAGATTATTTCTTGTATTAAGTCTATCTTCAGGGTTTTATAGTTTACATGTTAAACACCTGACAATAGAATAAATGACAAGTTTACAATAATATGTACAATATTCCTTATCTTTGTCAACACAGAACGAGTAAAATCCCAATGTGTTACAGCTCATGGAAGTTCTGAGTGTGGATTGACATGATGAATGAATCATGATCAGTTATGTCCATCTTCACTACACATTTATACATCATTTTCACATTGGTAGAAGGTCAACCCCAAATAAATTTCATGCCCCTAATTAAATCCAAAATACAGGCTAATAAAACCATATCGACATAGAATCAGTAAATAAACCAGATATTATATATAAATCATTGATTTAATAGGATTTCACAGAATGACATATAGTTTATCATGTGCCAAATTGTAACAAAAAAGCCAGGATCTCCACATCTCAACAGAATGTATGGATAGATTGATTAAGACAACATTCTATTTCAAGTAATTAGAGGGTAGCCAATTTGCCAACAAATAATTCAAGATTTTGTGGCTATAAAGAGAGAGAAAGAAATGGGGTTTAACTTCCACTCAATTCAATACTTCTTGTCATGACAGAAAACACGCTTCTTGACTCAATGACAGATCTCATGATCTAAAGTGCATGCCTTAGAAGATTCGGCCACCCAACCACCCATGGCGGCTATAATAAATTTATCTTACCTTTTTTATTTTTAATACTTGTATTAATACCATTTTGTAATAAGAGTACAGCTACCTCACTACGACCTCGTAAAGCTGATAAATGAAGAGCTGTATTACCAAACTGATCCTGACAATTAATGGGCGGAGCTGTCGGTGATTTGAGCTACAATTTATAAAGAGGCAATAAGTCTATGGAAGCCAGAAAAAATGCTGTCATATATCACTTTCCAATTAACACCAATTGTTGAATACGCATAAGAATTTATCTGAAGCTCTGGCCCGGAGTTCACAAAGCATTCGCAGACTTAGTTAAGAATTTGCTCAAAACTGTTCACCTTATTTTAACTAAAATATAGCCCTTTATAAAACTTTTGTTATTTTAATGTATCACAAACATCAATAAGAAACTATGTGCAAAGTTGTGTGTTTCTAGATCAAAGATATTTCTCATAAACAGTGATTGAAAGTTGAGTAAATTCTTAACTTAAGTCTGGGAATGCTTTGTAAAACAGGGGGCTGGTATTTGAAATATTCTTGGATAATACCCATTGTTTATATGATCTATGATCTTTATAAAGTCGCTTACTGTAAGCGAACCAAATTAAGAATCAATGTGTTTAAATGTATTTAAACATACATTATGCAAGAGCAAAATCTGATTATTGCAAGTCTTAATTTAGGCTTCAGATGTTATAGAAATTATAAATTAGATCTTTATTTAAACAACAAGCCCAAAATCAACTCTGTAGACCCACGGATGGCTCGGCTACAGCTCGGATTTAAATAGGATTTCACTTATCAATTAATTCAAATATGGCGCATCCTGATGAGAATACGTCAGTTAGATCGAGGCTAAATGATAGAGTGTACTTAGCGAGGCCGCTGTAGAGCGTTTACGCATGCCATTGAAAACTTTACTTGATAATCAAGATATGTAGGTGGAGTTAACGCCTGTCAATCAACGATCAGCCACGGTGAAGGCACATTTCACTACCATTTCTAGTCAAATATTACAACGATGATAACTATGTTCAGAATAAAGTAATTTGACTGACATTTTCAAAATATTCTTCTTTCATAATCTACTTTTGAACTGTTATAGCAAGAATGGCCAATTCTCTGTAAAAATCTCCCATAATGTATCTTTAAGAAATATGGATGTTTGTAAGATTCAAATAGTTTGTAGATGGCCATAATATATAGCATGTTGTAGCAACAGACAAAGACCGTCACACTTGACATGGAGGGTTTTAATAAATTAATAACAATCTTGCTACTTTAAAAGGGAGCCACAGTGGCTCATTGAGTAAGGTGCTGGTTCAGTAACCAGAACCACTTAAAAGAACCCTTGACAGTTGGTATTTAAAATAAGGGAAGGCTGTAGCACCACTGTCCAGCCATAATTTACCTCATAGCAGACTACATGGCTTATGCCCGTTTTCATTAGCCGAGTCAGAGCAGAAAAGTAGGATGTTACTCCCCCCCCCATTTTTTTTTTTGCTACTTTAAATGCTGTTTTAGTTTCGTTTGATTCAATTATATAAGCACTGCAACATTCTATAAATATATTCATTTTAATTAAAGAAATGAAATTCTTCCTTTGGTGATGCTGTATTTAACTCTTAGAACCCGAAATGCCACAAAACTGGCTTTGACATTGTAGCGCATAGTCCTGAAATGTTGGTTTTGCAGCTTGTGGGCGTGTCTTCTGACACGCTTCCTTAACAATAACAAAATGTTGTTTACCGTTTGCGCCGGGTCTGCTGTAAATAGCAACTTCCTTCAACTTGTTTACATTTCAATATTGGCAAATTTTTAGATGAATTGAGTGTTCTAAACGACTAAATGCAACAGATGCACTAGTTCTTATTCTCGAGCAATAATGGCGAAGATATTGATGGATTGAATTACGGCAATGAAAGTGATTTTGAAAGTGAATATGCCCTAGATTCAGACAAAAATAACGAAGAAAATGACAGTGATGATAACACTCGTACTCGTAATAAATTTGTAAATAATGTTGATCTACATGGCCAGTGATAGAAATATAAAAACAGGGTGTGGTCGCGATTTTAGCAGTTGGCATGAGTGGGGATCAAAGTTAAATTTTCTGGTTAAATATCTTTGTTTCATCATTTTACATAATTATATACGCATATAATATTAAGTTCACACCTAACATTTAATTCCAATTAAAATGACGTCATTTTTGCAAAATCGTGCTGTAAAGTCTGGGTAGGGTATACGGCACCAAAAATATTTTCAGGGTTCAAAGGGTTAAGAATATTTTTTTACAATACTTGTACCCATTATATTAAGATTAAAATTTAAAAGTGGGGTAAACTTACCAGTTCTCTGACTGTGTCAACATCACCTTGAGTAGCTGATGCCAGGAATAGTTCTTGTATTTTTTTACTTTCATGATGTTCAGCAGCTAATGATAAATCAAAAGTATCATTGATTATCTGAATAATTCTCATTTTGCTAAAATATCCAGACTCATATATTTCTAGATATACAGAAGTCATTGACAAATTATTTACAAAGGTTATTAATAAAGTAGGAAATGAAATGAAATGGGGTTTAACGTCCTACTGTTCTGCTCCGAACTGGGCTAATGATGACGGGCATACACCATACAGTGTGCTATGAGGGAAATTTTGCCCGGACAGCGGCACTACGGCCTACTCTTATATCGAATTCCAACTGTCAAGGGGGATCTTTTACGTGCACCCAAAGTGTACACAGGACCTCGGTTTTTCGTCCCATCCGAATGACTAGACAGCTGTCCTTGTCAGGCCATCCGGCCTGCATCACTGACAAGGGGGAACCACGCCGGAAAATCTGGATGAACTTTCTCGGCCAATGCAGGGATCGAACACCCGACCTCCAGGCTAGCAAGCCAGCGTCTTACCCACTTAGCCACATGATCCCCAATAAAGTAGGAACTTTGATATATGTATCTATGACTCACAAGCAAATTCCCACCATATGGCCAGTAAAAAGCATATATTAATGTGAGACAACAAAGTTCCTATATTGTATTGTACTGTCAAATTGTTTAACCCTTTAAATTGTAGTGACCACAATACAATGTGGCCTTTACTTGTTTCATTCAGACATCAGAGGTTGGTGACCATAATTGTTGGTATGCCTGCTACTGCAGTGTAGAATATTTAGATCCCACAATACAAGCTTCCCGTTCTCTTTAATCATTTACATTCAGACATCGGCCATCTAGGGAATAATTGTCACTGGAAGTCTGGAACCAGTGTTGTGCATGCTTGAAACTTTTAGACCATGACACCATTTTTAATTTTTTTCTCAACATATCTTACCTTCTATTAGGTTTTTAACATCGGTATGTTTAGCGAGTTGTTTGGGAAGATGACCTTCAGAGTTCAAGGCCAACACATCAGCTTTGTACTGTAGTAATAAAGTCACCAATTCCTGACAAAATAAAACCATAGATACTGGTATTGAAAATTCATAACATATTAGTCATTTCAAAACTCAGTTTCTGACTTCCCTTTTGTGTCAAAAATCAACCTAACTATTAGAAAAGCCAAACCCAGTAATGTCCTGTGGTGGATCTATAAGTGAGAATTCGGCGATAATAGTATGATGATAGTGACCGCCATTTCTTTATGTTAAAGGTATGAAGTTAATTGAGAAACTATAGGAATTCAAGGCCTCTGATTTGTAGATTTTCTAGACAGGTATCGGTAAGGTATTTCCGATCCATAAACTTGTCTATGTAGTTTTTGTCTTGTCCGCAGGTTTGTCTTATCGGTGTAGTCCTCCTGGACTTATTATTATAATGCAAGATTATGACTCTTAGCTTTAGGCTATAATATACAAGGGCTTCAGATATCTATAGGACTTCCTACAAATATACACAACTTACCAGTCTTCCTGTATAAGCAGCCCTATGTAATGGTGTATCTCCTAGACTATTAGCAACATTCACATCAGCTCCTCTCTATATAACAAATAACATAACTAAATTACATACATGTCAGTCAAAGTTATAGATGCATTATGTTAGATTTTGATAAAGAGAGAGAAATGGGGTTTAACGTCTACTCAACACAAACTAGGTCATTTCACGACTAACACATGGTTCAATTTTATTTCAATAATACACATGTGTGTAGGGGTGTTTAGCAGTGGAAGGAAACCGGAGGATCTGAAGAAAACTTATGAGGTTGGACAGGCGACCCTACTCCTTGTCATGTACAACCGGGGAATTGAAACCACACCATTTGACTCAATGACAGACATGCTAATTATTCGGCCACCCAACCCCCCTAAGATAAAGAGATGACAATTCTCAATATAATAGTTTAAAAACAGATGATCAAATCAGAATATATTTCTGTCAAATTACTTCGTTCTGTGAGCAGAGTTATGAATGTTTGAAGAATAGCATAGTCTTAATTTTCATTGCTACATTAGTGCTACAGAAACCAATATCTTTAAGGCCAGCAGGCAGCATGACATACTTTACCTCTAACAGAAATCGAACAATATCAATATGTCCAAAATATGCTGCTAAATGAAGAGCCGTCCAACCACGATTTGCCTTGTTTGTTCCTGAAATAGATGAATACATGTTCGGTGAAATTTATACTAATATTTGAAATCAAATCTCCAGTAAAAGAAGAGAGTTAAAATACATGATTCTTCTGATCATTGACAAATTTCAATTTCAAAGCATTCCTGATTGCTAATTGTTCTTAGGGACTACTGCCTATTTTATGAAAAGTTTGAAAACCTACATGTATTCTCTTACTGTACACGGATTTACTTATTTCTATACATGTAGCCTTATGGAAAGTTCTAAAACCTAGTCTCTTACTCTGGATTGACATATTTCTATGTAGCCTAACTAAAAATTCCAAAACCTATTCTTTTACTCTGGATTTAGCCATTTCTCTGTTTACTGAAGTTTCTAAAACCTATTCTCTTATTCTGGATTTAGCTATTTCTCTGTGGTCTGAAATTTCTAAAACATATTCTCTTAATCTGGATTTACACATTTCTATGTAGGCTTACTGAAAATTCTAAAACCTAGTCTCTTACTCTGGATTTGCCCATTTCTCTATAGGATTAACATGACTTGATGAAGCATGAGTTTCTGATATTACTGTAGTTGATCAATAGATAAAAATCTACTTTTATTACTTACGAAACCACATTTTAAGACATATGCCCGCAAATTAATTTTTCAAATCAAGATAGTCTTTGACCAGAAATTAAACTTTAAAGGATGTTAAGTCAAGTGTCAAGTATCACACAGTGTTTTTATTATAGGCTAATAGATATGTGGAGAAATAATTTGTACCTGACAATGCCTGTGATGGGTGGCTTATGTCCAGGGTAATATATTGTCTGATAATTTGTACTGGACAAAGTCTGTGACAGGTGCCTTTTGACCAGGCTTGTCAGTGTCATAGTCCTTGATAAAACATCAGATCTCGATACGAGTTATAACGAATCCCTAGCAAAGTATCAACACAATATTCTAACTCAGTAACAAATGTTACTCTTTTAAAAGCAACGATACAAAAATATCAAACAAAACAAACCTCTGCAATTAATATCAAAGTCAGCACCAACACTAGTTTGAGCTAGAATAACTTCCACTGTGTCCAAGTTTCCATTTCTGGCAGCGTGAAGAAATTCTTCTTCCAGACTCGTAAACTGATGTTCGTATTCTTCATCGGATGCTGACATCATAATATTTTACGGCTACTCTATTTTAGAATCATATTAAATTTCTAGTCACTATGTTCTATCACTGATAATACTGAAACGGAAATAAACATAGACATCTCTGACAAACATACACAGTTTTATAATGCATGTATATAGATAGGTCGTTTTTGGGAGATAATTTACTTCAATTTGTCTTCTTGTTTGTCAGAACTCAGATTGCCAACCTTAATCCTCCTTGACGCAAATATGAATGTTTGAATAAGATTTCCATTCATCATAGGCTAACACTGGGATCGCATCTAGAACCTCCATGGGAAGTCAGCAAGGAATTGTTTTTATTCAAGGATTTGAAAGCAGCAAAAATAACTACCAGTACTGGTATTATGTTTGTCTATCGAAAAAACATTTGACATATCGATCCGACATCGGTAGGCTACAGTGTTATTTTGAGTTGACCACTTTTTATCCTGTCATTTTGGGATTATAAACATGGTAGGACCTATCATATATTTTATTTTAATATTTTACTGGTGTGTTGGAGTTTTTAACAGTGACAAGAAATAAGGGGATCTTGGGGAAAATCCACTAGATCTTCATCATTAACTGTTAAAGCAATCTGCTATAAATGGCGTGGGGGGGGGGGGCTCAGTGAAGGGGCTGGCTCACTAACCAGGAGTCTGGGTTTGATTTGATCCCAATCAAATTTGCTGAGGAATTAAGTCCCGCAGGATTTCTCCAGCCTGGGATTCCCTTGCTAGTCATGCAAGCCAGAAAGCCGGACAAGGAACAGCATCTAGTCTTTCGTATCGGACAAAAAATAAGGAGCTCGATACTTGTTGGCACGCACAGCTGGAATTTGATTAGGCCCTAATAGCTGGAAACTCATCTGGGCAAATTTCCCTCATCATAGCACACTGCATGGCATTTGCCCACCTCCAACATGTTTTAATTGAATTAAATTAATTCTAAATGGATTATAAACTTTATAAATCAATGGAAACTACAGAAAAAGTTGTCTACTTTCAATTTCCTTTTTTTTCCTGGGAGCTGCCTACCGTATAATCTTAGCTAAACTGTAAGTAGGAGACTGACCGACCTCCTAAAATTTAATAGTTAAAATGTGCTATAGGCTATAATCACATGTTCAGAACAAAAATCCTTAATTTCCTTACTTACGCCATATGATGCAGTTTGCCACCATAATCATTCATCTGTCACGAGTCAAACAAAAATTGTTGTCATTTCGAATCAGCCAACATCCGTTTTGAAATCATTAGCCTATTTGTGAATTTCCTCTTCAATAAAGGGAGAGTAATCTATTTAAAGACAAATGTTTTTGAAATGTCTATTGTAATGATCATTTAAATTAGTGAACAGTTTTGAATTATTTGTAAATAGGCTATAAATTATACAAAAAATCTGTAATGAGGTCATTCTATTGCAGTCTTCAAATATGGCACATAAACCCCAGATTACTCGGTACAAAGACCACTCTGTTCAAGATCAATCGGGCCAATAGAAGACCACTCGGACCAATAATAGAAGACCACCCGGACCAGGATGTTTTTTAATACATGTTCCGAGATATAAGACCAAGATTAGAAGACCATCTGGACCAATATGTCTTTGAAATAATAAAGTGTTGTTTTAATAAATCGATAGATTTGTGTTTGTTTTGATACATTTGTTTATAGTTATGTAGGCTACTTACCCGTGTTATTATCTGATCGTGAAACACATGAAAGAAAATCAATTAACAAAACATCGATTAACCTATTTTACGAGTATATGATAAGAACTAATATTTAATATACAAGTATAAGGATATATTTTGTATTTGTCCGAGTGGTCTTGATCCGAGCGGTATATGGGCCGAGTTGTCATGCATTCATTAAAAGCGCGGGAAATTTTGTGTGAAATTTATGGATGAAACCTCATGTCAGATTAATAATACGAATGTATACGGTGTCAGTTACGTCAGTATAAGAAAATACAGTCAGATTGTGATTACATGTACACCCAATGCTAAACCTGCTTTTGGTTGTTGACTGAAAATCTATTTTGTTAAATGCTACAAAGCGGAAGTTATTATCAACATGGTAAAGTTAACAGATTCACATTCAGTTGTTAAAGGAAAAAGAAAAGGCTCCAACACAGGAAACTTGATTAAAAAAGCAAAGTGCAGTGATAGTTTTGGTGATGCCTCAGTATTCTGTGAGCTGGTTGGTAATGCTGGGATCTCTCTTAAAGATGGCAGTACAAATAATGAAATTAATGTAAACCAGACTACTTTTCAAAAGAAACTATCAGTAACATTAAAAAATCATGGAAACTATCCAGAGGTTGTCGATGATGTTATCGAAGGATTACAGTCATATATTTTAGAACCTAAAAGATTTCGTAAAATGTTGATGCCAACAATTACTAGCGTTGATTGTGATAGTGCCAGGGCGTCTATACAAGATAGTGTTATTCATATTTTGATGGGTATTGATATTTTACAGATGCAGGTGATGAATCTTGTCCTGGAAAAGCTTCCTGAAATTACAGCAGATGATGATCATTGTGATGAAAATGGGGAAAAGCTATTAATGCCCAAATTACTCTTGAGTCAGTTCTTATGGCTAGATAAAATAATAGACTGCAAGTGTCTTACAACAAGGATGATTGAAATGATCAGTATCACGTCTATAGATGTACAGAGAGAAATAATAACATGTTTACCGGATATAGTAGAAGACTCAGAACATTCTACAGTTGCAAAAGCTCTTAGAGATTTTATATTGGAGAGCAATAAGTTGATTTTACCTGTTCTGGATGCATTATCAAATTTGAACCTTTCTCCAGAACTTATAACAGAAATAAGGGAATCAGTATTAAAAAAATTGGATTCTATAGAATTAGAAAATTTGCCAATTGTTATAAAATTCCTCTTGCAAACTGTCTCAATTCAAGATACGTGTGAGGTTGTTAGAGAAATTCGACGCAAGTTAGTTTTGAAAACTGGTATGACAAAGTCATCCACAGATTCCTTGAACAAATTGATGCATACATCTGAGAAGGGATTGGTAGCACTTATTTTGGAAGCAATTAAAACAGGAATTAATTTTCAGAAAAGTGTGGCAGAAGGTTTTATTAAGGCAATAGAAGAAATCAGAAATCCAAATGATCAGAAAACAATTGATGTTTGTATACTTTTTGTTATCTATTCGACAAATCGAAAAAAGACAGTAGAAAGTTTGTTCCGGAATAAAATTCGTACTGGTTGTTTTTCAGAAGATTTGTTTCATACAACGCTTAATTCACATTCACAGGCTCTACAGGACTTTTTCCCAAGTATCCTATCTTTAGCTGAGGTATTATTAAGATCCCCAGAGCCAACTATAAATTCCCTAGCCTGTTTTCTTTATATGCAGTGTTTTATTGTCTTTGATGCTTTGTGCAAACAGGATGTGATTGGTAATCTTGTTATGCATATTGGGAGTGGAGCAGATGATGAAATCAATTCATCATTAGACATTCTTTCACATCTCATAGAAAATCATTTGAAGTCAATGATACCTTATGCTGTATTAGTAAAGGGTGTTCTGGATTATTTAGATAATCTGTCTATTACACAAATACGTAATCTTTACTCCATGTTGAGTTGTTTGGCTTTTTACAGTTCTGCAGAAACCAGTCCCATACAGGATGACATGCACATTATTATCCGGAAACAACTCTCCAGTTCGAATCCTAAATACAAATGTATTGGTGTTATTGGTGCTGTCATGGTTGTTAAAATTATTGCTGCTGTCGGTGACAAAAGAGAATCTTTAAATGAAGAACTATGTCACCAAGTTGTAAGTTTGTTACAATTGGTGAGAAATAGTAGTTCAGTTTTGCCTGAAGTATTTGCTCTCTTTATGGATGAACTGTCAACAGTTTTGATAAAAGGTGAACTTGCATCCACAATTATGGAATGGATTTCGGATAATGTTACCTGTGATTTCCAAGATGATTTTGTTGTGGATATTGAACAAGAAAAGTTAGAAAAGCAGTGGTTTGTTCCTATGGAGTTATGTCTTGGATTGAACAATATAGAAGAAAGTACCATTGCTATAGATCTTTTACCACTGGTTATGAGAAATGCTGTTAGAGATTCCTTTATTCGAGGTACTCAAAGAATTCCTGAGCCTATGTGTTTGTCTTCCCATTTCCGTTTGGTACAAGTATGTGAGAAAAGACAAGAAGATGGTAATTTGGAAGGAATCGATGCATTACTAGGTTGTCCGCTGTACACTGTTCAGAGAGCTGTTGTTGATAAGATATCCTTATTATCACAGAAAGTTAAAGCAGCTATTTGCAAAACATTGTTTCATGAAGTAAATTGGTTTATTGAGATTGTTAATGGATTTGCACTACAAAGTGATAGAGAAATGAAGAGAAAAGTTGTCTACAGATTACAGAACATTCTAGATAGTTGCAAGCTATTGGAGATATTTTTAGCAGAAACAACTCATTTTAAAGCACCATTAGCACATTTTGATCTTGAAGATCAAAAATTGTTATGTGATCAATCCAGTTCTAGTGACGGTTCGAAACGTCCTATGGAAAAGAAATTGGAAAAGGAGGATTCAAGTGACTTAAATGAAACATCTAACACTTCCTTTCAAAATCTAGAGGAATCACAAAGTGCCAAGGAACTGGTTACTAGGGAAGGAAAGGTGGAATGTAGAGTATTATCATTACAAGCAAATTACAGACACTATTTTAGAGAATTAGACATGGACGTTTTTAATTTATTGCAAATAGTCCTTATATCTGGGCCTGCAGTGGATACAGATGGCAATAATAAGACTCGGACAACAGAATTGTTGAAATTGACACCTCCTCAATTAAATTTTTTGTTAAAAGATTTGGCAGAGAAGTTGGCGCATGCTTTGACAACACCCAAAAGGAGAACTGCATTCAAGACCAAAAGAGCTAGACATGCAGTGTTCTCTCATCTTGATCAGTATTCATCAAAAGAAATAGCCACTAAAGTCATTGATCTACTACCTTCATTATGCACACATTTAGAGGAAGCACATGCTTTTCTCCAGATTCGAATTTCAGATGATGATTACATGGTAGATGGATTGGAATCAGAGGGTAGAGAACTGGAAACCATGTCAGCTGTTTTCAAACATTTAATTGAATCCTTTTTTTATCTTTTCACATGGAATGGATTTCTTATGAATGAAAACAATTGTTTATTAAAAAGTGCACTGGCTGATCTAGTTTCACATGTTAAAAATAAACATTTAAGGCAAGATTCTCAGCAGTACCTAGTAAGGGAAACCTTTCAGTACTTTAAGAACTTTTCTACTACAATCACTGACTTGGAGACTGGCTTGATGTTAATAGAACTATTGAAAGCTTTGGCAGATATAGACAAGAGTAGTGAGTTATACCCTGAAATTGCTACACTATCCAATGAGATGTTAAAGCAGAAATGGCTGAGAACAGATGGTGAGAGAGCGAAAGGAGCTAAACATAACGAGCAGCTAAAAACAGTTATCAGGTATTATATGATACACACTGAAGATCCGATCAAGTCTATTGAAGCTTTAGCTTCAAAAGCGTTTCCGGAGTTGATGGAAGCAGACAGAAATAGTTGTTCTGAAACTTACAAATCTCTTACAAGGAATTCCCTTCCAGTTTATTTCCATGTTATATTCAGCCAACTGGTGGAAAGTAGTAAATTGATTTCTACAGTAAAGCCAACAGACAATGAGCAGTTGAAAGAGGACCAATTAATAAAATGGAATATTGCTGTGAGAATACATCACATCTTAGTTGACTTGTTAAAGGTATTTGATGGAAGGGGAATACTTGGTACAGTGCTAAAGTATGGTCGACAGTTTGTAGAAGTGTTTCATAGACAAGCTATGCCTTTACTGGATGGTATGTTTAAATTTCACCGTGAAGATGTGCAAAGTTTATTAAAAGCGCTGCAACTTAGTACCAGAACTTTACACCATCTGTGTGGACATTCTAAGATAATTAAAGATGTATCCTTAACAACCCAAGTACCATTGATGAAGAAAGCTTTAGAAACATTGGTTTATAGAGTTATGTTAATGCTAACTGTGAATAAATGTCACGAAGCATTCTGGATGGGTAATTTGAAAAACAGAGATTTGCAGGGAGAAGAAATATTATCTCAAGGCTCAAGACTATCTGTAAATATAGAGAATACAGATAAAAACCCAGAACAAGAGGCATCGTATGAAGAATTAAATGAAACGGATGCACCAGACATAAATATGAGTGATGATGAGAAAGAATCTGAGGATGCATCATGTAGTGAAATATTCTAATTAAAAATCTGATTTATTTTTAAAATTAAACTAATTAACCGAAAAGTAGGAAGTTCTAAAAACAATTTTCAATGACAATATTCCAATAGGACAGACATAATCCTAACTACAAAATGACTTGAATTTAAGGGAACATATGAACATATGTTGCTTGACTATAAAATATAACAAAAAGAAGGCTTTCGTTTGGGTTGAAAGACAGTACATATTTTGGTATACATTTATATCACATTTTGTATTATGTGTTTAATTCTTAATATGTATATGTTCAAATATTTCTAGATTAATTATTATTAAGTTAGCGATAGCGACTGGGTATAAATATAAGAGACGAAATACAGACAATTTTTTTCATTGTTAATAAACCTGGTTCAGTGTCAAATGATTATTACTTATGTTTTTTATAGGTGAGTTAGTTTATATTTGTGCCGCCTATGTTTCTTTTATGCTTAATATTAAGATGTGAAATAGTTTAGTACACATACTCACATACTATGATAATACTTTATATTCATTTATTGATTAATGTATGTTTCTTTTATGCATAATATTAGAATGTGAAATAGCTTATAGTGATTCAGTTATTCATTAATAGATAATTTGTAATTGATGTTTCAATTTTTTTTTCTTTAAATACTAGCTTACCTACATTCGAATATGTATATTACAACTTGGAACCTTTAATTTTGGAATATGTGCCTTTAATATTTGCTGCTACATGTATCTGTATTATTCTCCTCATTATTATTTCATATAAATTATATCAAAAGAAAACTTCTTATACTATATTGATATTAGAATTAACAGCAGATTCATTATGTGAATTTATTCCTGTATAAATTTCCCTGTCGTGATGTCCTTCTTATTGAGATTTTATGCTACAAGAGACCATTACTGATTTGCATCTACAAAACATGATAAGACCTTCACTTCATATAACTTGGACAGATTTCAAATTACCAATAAGTTAACCAGTCAATCGCTAAATATCGCAAGTTCGCCCAAAACTGTCACAACCATTTGGTACTAATATTTTAATAGCTCACCACAGATTATATGAAGTGTTGCATTAATATTTTTTTATATGAACACATTAATTTCACCATTTATATATTAAATAGATAGTGTAATATTTTGTCTTCAATATTTACATTGTTCTTCCTTTTTGTTGTGTTTGGATTAACATATTTTTGTATGATTTTATATGCCTATATTTTAAAGTAGGTATGTCTTTAAAGTTACTTTCCCACAAAAGTATTTATTGGGTGGTTATTTCCAATAAAAGTATGGCAATTTTGGTATGTATGGAAAGTAGAAACAGCCAATCTTACTAGAAAAATACTGGATTCCCTGAAAAACACCAATGGAACGCATACAGGACAATAATGTAAGTGTTTTCCTAGCCGACAACCCGACGATTAGGGATGTCTGCTCGAGGGACGTCAAAGGTTACACGCGAAGATTGTCTAATCTCCCAGCGTTGGTGAACGCTTGATGTATATGATGGTGAGCTTAAACGTACAACAGTTTCTGTGATAAAAACCAAGCAAAAAGATGTGGGCAGTGGATAATCCGAGAATTTAGTTAGGCGTTGATATTTATGATAAATGGACAGCGATTAAAGATAACATCGTCTTGTATATGCAATGAATTCACCTCAGGCTTCACACCCATTACTAGGTACCGTATCACCCAAGACACGTGACACAAAGATGACTTCGTTTCATAGATTTTTTATAACAGGGGTATTCCCTCACGAATACAATGTTGTGAGAAGGATTTGAAGCAAAATTTTGATAGATTAATTAGTTTGAATATGTTTTTAGTCCAAATATATTATCGATTCACCAAGTTTGTACGTGGGAAGGTATCTTTAACTCAGTATCATCCAGAGTCTTTGACATTGAAAACACAAATTATTTGTCAATTTAAATCAACATTGATGTTACCAGGAAACGATGGACTTCTGATATCCAATATTTAAGACAAATTAAACATTTTACCATTGGTACAATGAATCGTGTACTAGAATGCGTTTCAGCGCCATTTGTAACAAGGGACTTGAAGAATGAGGCTAGACATTTTCCACAAGCCATGACAAGCGGTGGTGCAGTATATTCTTATATAGAGAGCATGCGCAATACATACTACCGGTGTAGACTGGAATAACCAGATGCTACAGTTTGCCATTTGATTGAGACTTCTCGCTTATTTCGCCGAACATAACTGATTTAAAATTAGAGTAAAAACAGAAATGATTCAATATAAATCAGTTTATATACATTCATATTACATTATTACATGCATTGCAACCCATTTATGTCAATTTCTAGGTCCCAAATATTAGTGATGTAGCTCCTTTAATGTGGATGTATATGGTCGTCGCCCCTGGCCGGCCGCCTGTACATTCACATTTTGTTTGTGGACACTCTACAAATAATGTTTTTAGCTTGTGGACACTCTAGAGGTCATAATTTTGATCCGATTTTGATGAAACTTAAAATATGTGTATATCCCAAAGACTTGGTTCCTTTTGATATTCGTGCATATTGGACTGCAACTTCCTGATTGTACGAAAAATTGTGGTTTTTTTTGCTTGTTCTCTGTCCATCTCTTGCAAAATGTGGGCGTATCTTGCATGGCAATTGCTTGTTATTTTGGTAATTAAGTTTGTTTCTTATTTAACAGCTGATTTATTGTTTGCTATTACAGTGTAAAGCATTTTTTGAGGTGACAGGGTATTGTTATAGTACATATTTTGGTATACATGTAATTACTTACCTAAATTGGCTAATTGCTTTAATGTGGATAAGTTAATCTTTACCCCAAACCTTGAACGTTCTAAACCGAATGAACTGTCTTATTGATTTACCTTTTCTGAACACTTTATCTAAAAATAAATTAACATTACGTAACATGCATCTTAAGTCATTGATTCAGTAGGTACCTATATTTGAGTTACTTCTCAATAATGTAAAGATGTTAATTAATATAATACAAAATGTGATATAAATTATTTATATCACATTTTGTATTATGTGTTTAATTCTTAATATGTATATGTTTAAATATTTTTAGATTAATTATTATTAAGATAGTAAGTTAGCGATAGCGAATGGGTATAAATATATGAAATACAGACAATTATGTGCAATCGTTCATAAACCCAGTTCGACATCAAATAATTATTACTTATGTTTCTTATAGGTGAGTTAGTTTATATTTGTGTTGCCTACTAATTCATTAAGTATGTATGTTTCTTTATGTTTAAGATTATGATGTGAAATAGTTTACTACACTTATTCACATAGCGTATTAGAGCTAAGCACCCCCAGCATTTGAAATTGTAATATATGTAATAACCAAACAGCGCATGCTCTCAGAAAGATAAGCATTAGATATATAGATTTATGAGGCAAATTATGTAAAATGATTTTATAGTACCTTTTAATGATTGAGATGTAAAAGCACGTGCAGTAAACAAAATAAAATTTATTGTTTATCAATTATTTTTTTAATATATGCTGCAGAAGTCGTAACATTAAAAACACTCCGTTAACGGTTAATACAGATGTGGACAATGTAGATTGTTTATGATTTATTAATTAGATCAATATCTTATAATTTATTGGAGTCACAGTGGCTAAGTGAGTAAGACGTTGGCTGTCTAGTCGTTTGGATGGGACAGAAAACCGAGGCGTGCATGTTAAAGATCCCTTTGCAGATGGAATTAGATATGAGTAGGTTGTAGCAGTGCTGTCCGGGCAAAATTTCCTTCATAGCACACAGTATGGCGTATGTCTGTCTTCATTAGGCCCAGTCAGAGCAGAAAAGTAGGATGTTAAACCCCATTTCATTTATAATTTATTTTATAATGTCACTCATTTTGACAATTTTATTTTATATTAATTTCTAAAATGCCAAACCTGTGGGTGCTATTCTTTAATCTTTTTCGAAGATTGGCAACGGTATGTAGTGTATGCCTACACAGAAGGCTCTACTTGATAACCCGAGAAGCATTCAAAACACACATCTCCAGCACAATAGTAATTAAGATATATCTACGGTGGGGTCCTCGTATGGTGGGGGGTGGCGCCTGGTGGTATGTCAGCAGGGCTCTGGGACAATTTGTAAACAATCATTTGTAAATGATTGTGGTCTTTTAGAGGCTCTACTTGATAATCTGAGAAGCATTCAAAACACACACTTCCAACACAATAATAATTAAGATATCTTCTGTGGGGTCCTCCTATGGGGTGGGGGTATGTCAGCAGGGGTAGTGTGGAATTCAGAAAGTATGGAATTAACTTTTTGGGTCATATTCCCTTCTTAAGAAAACCCTGGTAAGCTAATGAATGTTAAAACCAACAAATGGTTTTCATAAATTATGGAGATTGAGTGCCATTTATATGACAGAGAAATGTGATAAGAGAAAATTGGGATGGGGTTAACATCCATTTGACTTGTACGCAGAGGTATATTTAAGTTGGAGGAAGCTGGAATACCTAGAGAAAACCTACATGGATTGAAACAATGAATTACATGGATAACAAACCTTATTTTCTACATGCATTAGACTGCCACCAATGACAGAAAAAATATATCCTGAATGCATTCTTAAAGTGCAACAAAACACTAACAATGTATTATAGGCATTATCTGTTTTATTTTCTGTCAGAAATTTAACTTGATACAGATTATTTCATGGAGCAGAAAATATATTCACAACTAAATACAGAAAAAAAAACTCTTGCAAGCTTCATAGGCAATTATATATGTTATAACTTTAAACTGATTTAACAAGTCATTTTTATTTTTACAAACTGCAAATGGTTTCATAAATGTTCATAATGTAAAAGGAGAAGGATTCAGGGTTTCCTCTTTTTTAATCTTTTGGTATTTATAACCACATACAAGCTACAGTAGTAAAGATACTAAGAGGAGATAATTCATAGTGTGTCCCTTAAACAAGCTAAATGATAAAACTACAATACTGATCCAAAAATTAGAATCAAAATAATCTCCCAATACTAAATAAACATGCACTGAAGATTCAATTGCAAAGCACCCAAATGGAAGTAAATTTCATTGTCTTTTACATCAGTATTGCAGTTCTACAATAAAATGAGCATAAATGAATGAAATTCAGCATAAACATTACACTCAAAACTTATCACTCAATTTAACTAAACATCAAAACATAAAATAATAATTGACTAGTTCTTAGTACAAGTGGTCTTGTTCAACAACATCTCCAATATGCATAACAAGTTGATCTGGTTGAACAAGACTAATCTATACTGGCTATTAACAACATTTTGACATAAAAAAAGCACTCTTGGTTTTCATAATTTTTGAAATTTTGATTGTTATTAATATAAGACTAAAAATTTGTAATTACAATATTTAGACAGCTTAAAAAATAAATCCTATTGTGTGGCATAACCCAAAGTCAATTTCCTATAGTCTGTTTTTCAAAACACTCCAATGAATTTTAATCAATCACTTACTTAATACAAATCAAGGCTCTACAACCCAATTCACTAAACTCCTCACTCTTTCAAGATCACTTATTTCAACAAGAAAAATATAGTATTATATTTTACTCTCCTAAACTTTTCTATACAATATTAGACACTTTTTACAAATAGAATATACTTATATACATTGACATGTATTTCTGCACTTCATACATTATAATATACACACTTAATGGTTAAAAACAGATTGGGATACCCCTTGTCAAAAGTGAAATACCCTTTCTCTGCAGTTGAAGAATACATTTTTATAAAGGGAAAATCAAGCTATTATTAGTATTATTTGTGATCTGTTTAGTAACAATAATTGAAAAAGACTGAATATAAATCAAATGAATTTAGGATTTTTGCACTAAGTTACTTAAATAGGACATTTCCAAATTGATGACCTAGAAAAATTTCTGGTTCTAAACTACAATGAAAACAATATTTCATGATCCTGTAAATTTGCTTTCAGCATATCATTACCTCTTTCAAAAGATCATCAACGAATTTAATTAGCATAAATACGACTTTAATTGCATCAGTCAGGTTTGAAAACAAATATAGTCTGGGTAATCAGGGTTATATTGACGTATGTCATAGAGCAAGTAACCAGACACTGGGTCCGACAAACATTAACATATTTATATTGGTGAATGGGCTTTGATTTGAATTAATGATGAAATACCATGTTTATTCATGGTAAATCATATGGTTGAAATACGGCTCTGATACCTGGTAATATCCCTTTAAATAACTAAAGTATCGCTTTGTAATATATCAGCAATTTTACAATGTACAGACTATACACAATAATTACAAGTTGACTATCTACATCATGCACTGTCATTCACTCTTCTATTCATCTTATTACTTATTATCTGATAATTTTACAAAAATCTAACACTTCACTAGATTGCAATGATTGGCAAACTATATATTATGCCTAGACAAACTAAAATTTAGTTTGAAGTCACAACATTTAAAAGGAAACGAAATATTTTGATGTTCATATGGCAGTGTTTTTCTAGCAAAATTGATTGTGACAAAAAAATTCAAATGATTAAAGGCCGATTTTTAGTTTATTTTTAAATTTTCCCCAAATGAGATCACATTCCTATTTCCCATTAACAGATAGTTTTAGAGACTTAGAAACTACAATACCCGTTCTTTATCAAATTACACTACCCCTTATGTATTCAAACAAATTATGAATGAATGTTTCTAACTTGTAACATTTGACCTTTTTTTTTGGTGTTTATATTGGGCCTTTATATATTTAACAATCATTACTAAACTAATTCCAATTTTGCATTTTCAAATTTAATTGCTGATACATTATTAATTACATGTGGTTAAAGAAATATCGCCAATGTTGTAATACTCGGCAACGCTCTGGCATTATCAATAACAAAGCATTTTAGTTAAATTTAAATTACACAATTATATATTTAGTACAATATTATTAAATAGGTACATTTGTACAGAAATTACTAAAGAAATTGTGAACAAATTTCACAGCAACTTGATAAAGAGTATATTGAATATATAAGTAAGTAAAGTAGCATATTATAATTAATTTATCTATTGACATCACATGTACAATGTAGTCTTTCATAATATATCACACACATTTATTTACACACACCATGAGTTTAATGAAAAATATACAATGCAAAATAAAACAAAACATTGGCAAAAGGACATGGGATTTTTTAAACTGGAATTTATCACAGGATATAAGTTGAACTTCATTTCTGAATGTCATGCTAAATTGTTTTACTGAAACCGTGAAAATTATGTTTTAATATTAATCCATAAAATCAACATGTACTTAATATTTTTGTTTTCAATTTACAGTATACATTATCTGGATAATAAAACATTAGTGATAAGCATAGGATACTTATTCACTACGCTTCCTTGGTTCTAATTTTTAGTTGGATGTTCACTGTTAAGTTGAAAAGCCTGGATACACATATATGTGCCAACAAAATTATATAATCTGATTAAGCCTGATACAAATCGAGCCTAAGAGATTCAAGCTAATAATTCACTAAGCTTAAAGACCTCACGCCTTGTAAGAATTAAACAATTTGATGATTGGAGGGATGGGGTGTGTATCAAGGACTGGGGGTAATTATAAATAGATGATGGGGGAAGGAGGATAAAATCTACACGCTCATCAATTAAATAGCACCGTCACTTATAACAATAAGATCCTAGCACAGTTCATACGTTTAGCTGTACATGTATAATAACTAAAAAATGTTTAATGTATACTCCATAAAATGAAACATTCCAAAAACGTCGCTATGATTTTCATTTGAATAAATAGAATAGATTTGTTCACTTGCCGTATCGTGTAGTCCTATAACACTTTACGTATAGCATTTTAAAACATGCCCAGATTAACGTTGCAGCACACATTATAAGTTTGAACACTTCGTTTTCAACATGAGCAAAAATAATAAAATTGTAACGACTTAAAACAATAAGCTTTGACGAAAATTCATCTGTAAAGATTTACTGGTGCCTCATCTCTACACTTCAAATGTCTAATCTCTAATTTAGAGATAACAATTTACATTATAATAATGTCAGTAAATTATTACTTTAAACATTCAAAAAGCAGCTCCTGGTTAAAATCTGCTTCAGAAACACAACACAAAAAAACAAAGATGGCTCTCGCTCACGCCAAGACAACATTAATAACCTTGTTGAACTTCATACAAAATTCACACAAATCTAGCACTTTTTTTTGTTCGTTCCTAATTACCGGTATCTTTTAATCCCATCAAAAACCTAAAGTTCCCCATCAACATCAGTGATTTTTTTTATTGATTTTTTTTTTAAGGCCCAGGTCTGCTCATAACATTTTCATGACATAAATATTGCACTCATAAGGAAAATGACTATCAATTTCAAAGTCAATTCAAATAAAGTTTCAAACACTGAAAAATATCACTTCTACTTTCAACAAGGTTATTATGTTACTTCGTTAAATATTTAACGACTTAGACTATGTGAACGAGAGCGTTCATCGTTTTTTGACATGTCTATGCTTTTTACTAAATCTTCTTCATACAGACGAAGAAAAAACGGATGACGGAAGATCTGCTTCAGCGTGATGCGACTCTTTGGGTCATATTCTAACATTTTCGAGATAACATCAAATAGTTGAGTATGATCGTGGTTGTCAGGTTCTTTTATGTAACGCTGAAAAAACAAACGGAAAAAGATATTAACAATAGGGTCATTTGAAAATCCACAAAAAGATTTTTGATCATACATTGCAGTTACCCTCGCTGGTCCACCATACACAATCATTTGTGGCAGCACAATAGATTAGAGTTTTTCTAGACATAGTATGGCATTCACAGACTTGTTGCCTGTGATACCGAAAACTCTGCAGACAACAGTAGTAGTATCCATATTTTTCTCCCTTTTTTTTTATAAAACAATGTATGCTTATACATATAAGACAGAAGCTTATAATTATTCGTGCAAACAATAGTCATTAGTTGATAATGGCCAATGAAACCCAAACTCTGGCAATTTTAAATACTGATCCTGGATAAACCGTCAAAAAGATATGTAATACTAATTGTAATGTTCACATCAAAATCTATGCTTATGGAATTATCAGGTGACTTGCCTAACCTATAAGCTTATCTTAGTACTGGTACATGAGTCTATTTGTTGTGCTATTGGAAAAACGGAATTACAATGCACCGACTAAAATATTAAAACACATCTTATAAATGATTATAGTGCTGTTTTCTGCTGACAATGATTACTTAAACACACATTATGTAAGATAAAGATACAGAGCTATCCGTTCTTGATATAACAGTTCGAAAACTGATAATTCAAAATGAATATATTGAAAATTTAATTCAAATTGCTATATTGCAAGCAAAGATATTAGGCTTTGGAGGTTTGACAAGATGTGTGCATTAATTGTAACCACTATACTGGTTGGAAAAATCAATTAATGACAACACAATTTAAGAAATTGACATTTTAGACTGATTCACTATGCTATTTCATTTACTAATTATTACAATAACAATTCTATTATCTAAATTAATAATGAGATACATTGAAAGAGGCATTAGATTGTCGAAAAAGAAAATTAATTTAATTTCATGTAATATAATATAATATAATCTAATCTAAGACAGCTAATTATCGTAAATCCAATAATTGTCCCGCTTGCAGTAAATCATTTTTCACAAGCATGTGTGAATTCTTTGATAAATTGCATACAATTATTATTATTTCACTGACCGAAGAAAATCTAAAAATATGAATTATCTTGGAAAAGTTCATGCAAAGAAGACATTTCATGGACAAATAAATTAATGTCTATAAATTCTAATGGTTAAATTTGGAATTTTTTTTTCTCCAATAATTGACTATGAAAATCCCGTACGTAACTATCATCCTGGAAATGGTCAAAACACACAACCTGGTTGTTGGACATAAATTTGTCATGGGTAAGACCGGTAGCAATGTTTCGCAATCACAGAATTGTTATGTGCCTTTCTGCTGGTCTTTAGTGTGGGTTTAGAATCTTAAATTAAATCACAAATCTGAACTCTTTCTGGTCTTGTTTAAAACACTAAAAAGCTGCACACTCAGGTGTGGTGTTGGTAAGGTTACGCACACTGACACAGTAATTATGAATTTCAGTCCTTTATGGGTGGAAATTATCGAGGGGAGTGAACATGGCATTTATTACAACTAAGCAAATTAAGCTACTTAGGTGAACTTTTCCTTTTTAATTTAAACATCAAAATAAAAAGACAAAGATGCAAACGTTAAAAATAACAAATGCTACATGAAAATAATGTGTGTTAGAACTTAGATAGTCAATGATTATTCTTGTATTACATATACTATTCAAAAAAAGTAGGGGATATTTGATTTTGGGGGCATAATACTAAAATATGCAAATGACTACGGAAAAAGTCACTATAGAACCTAACAGAAGAAACATTTCCAGTTACATGTGACGCCCAAACGCACCAATAGCTACCGCATGGAATGCAGGTGATGCTTGGGATCATCATGGGGGTCCAACCCAAGATTTGCACGACTCTGACTTTGAATGTTACAGTCATTGTGGCATTGAATTCCAGGGTGGAAACATCAGTTTAATTGTTTTAGTGACCAGAAAACAAATTTTGTTATGCGTCGGCTTACCCAAAATGAAAGGTTACGTGCCCTTGGCATGCTACAGATCGGCACAACACAGGCGGTTGTGGCGCGGACGATGAATGTTTCTCAGTCTGTCATAAGCAGGCTATGGTCCAGATACCGTGATACACAATCTGTACAGGACAGACCACGCTCAGGTCGACCAAGGACGACAACTCAAGCCCAGGATCGATTTATCCGTACTTTGGCCTTGAGAAATCGTGTCATCACAGCAAATCAGATCAGCGCTCGTCTTCAAACAGACACTGGTGTGAGAGTGAGTGGCCAGACGATTCGGAATCGACTGCATAGGGGTCACCTTCGCGCCCGACGTCCTCGCGTGATCCCTTGTTTGAGAGATCATCACATTCAGGCAAGACGTCGTTGGTGTAGGGATCGTCAACACTGGGATAATCGACGCTGGAGCAATGTGATGTTTTCAGATGAGTCAAGGTTCACTGTTGATTTTTTGGACAGACGTAGGAGGGTGTGCGTCGTCGAAACGAGCGCTTCCAAGACGTTAACGTCATCAGACATGATTGATTTGGGGGTGGTTCTTTTATGGTGTGGGGAGGCATCACTGTTGCTGGAAGAACGGCTTTACATGTTGTTTCAGGGCGTGTTACAGGCCAGTACTACCGGGACAACATCTTGGCAGTCCATGTTGTGCCGTTCGCACGACGTCATGGCCGCCGTTTCATCTTCCAGGATGACAACGCAAGATGTCACAGGGCCAGGATCGTTACAGGTTACCTCCAACAACAGAACATCACCACATTACCTTGGCCAGCACTGAGTCCCGACCTCTCCCCCATCGAGAATGTCTGGGACATGCTTGGACAGAGGTTACGTCAACGTCAACAACGTCCTGCCAATGTCCAAGAACTTACTGCTGCGTTGCAACAGGAATGGGACAATCTGGACCAAAATGACCTTAGACGTCTCATTAGGAGTATGCCACGTCGGATCAATGCTTGTTTGGCAAACAGAGGAGGATTTACCCGTTACTGACTTGGTTGTGATGCTGTGGTAACTTTGCTGTTTGACCCCGGGTATCATTTTACCCTTATAATGGTCAGTCTGTGCTTTACTTAGTCTAACGATCATTTGGAATAAATCGATGAATGTGAACTTCATTTCATTTTGTCATTTGTTTCTTCGTCAGTTTCATTAGGTGACTTTAATAACACTTAAAAATCAAATATCCCCTACTTTTTTTGAATAGTATATTTTCATTATTCCAGACTTAATTATCACCTCTTTTATTGTTACAGTACCATAATTTTGTGAAGAAAAAATGGTTATAAATCATCTCATCTCAATAACCACTGCTAAACCTACTGGGGTAAAGTAGTGTTTCTGACTAGTTATCTTTTCCTGGGTCCATTAATTTAATAGATAAAGTCGACTCAAATTCAAATTTCAAATTAAAAATAAGATTGCAGCCTTTTTCATTGGCTGGGTACAAAAATAACAGCAAAAAATTTCACTCCCAGCCAATGAAAAATCTGCATTCTTAAAATATTTTAACAATACTAATGTCCAGAGCCATGTTACTTTAAAACCTGTTTTAAGTGTAATAAGTCATGCATTAATATTAATTTATATGAAAACTTATGTGTTGCAACAGCATATCCACTTCACTATCCACTTTTCTCTAAAAAAAGAGTCTAAAAAAACTCATCGTTAGTAAATATGATCGGTTAAAACATCAAACACAAATACATTATCAAACGAATCAGGAAATGGGGTTTAACATCCACACAACACAGCCAAATTATTTCAGGACCAAATATGATTTTTAAATGAACAATGAAATTCAGTGCGACTGCGAGGCAACCCTGCAGTTTGACTGAATGTTGTTCTCCTTGTAATGCATAATTGTTGGATCTATTTGTTTACAAAGAAAGGCAAGGAATGGATTTTAACATCTCCCAGACACAGCACCATTTGTACAATGTCAGAATAATCTTCATCTAATGCTAACTGTCAAAGGTTCTTTAAATGTCTACACTATTGCCTCAGTTATTAATCTCATCCAATCAACTATACAATCCTTTCCATGTCAGCCCCTTTATCTTGGATGGTTTCATTAAGAATTCTCATTTTTAAACCTGCGTGCTGTGATGGTATTAAGAGACTGTACAATGAATTTCTTTTGACAAGATATTAGTGAAAATGACAAGGTTCAAGCTAACAAACAAACTGTTTATTTTAAAAATGATTTGTGTTAATGATGAAAGATGATGTCACTCCAAAGAACAAACAAACGCCAACTATCATTTTTCAGTCACTTGCTTTTCATGCTTTTAAAAAACAGAATACAAAATTATTGAAAACTACTTATAAATAAAAAAAATAAAAAAAAATAAAAAAAGCCAGAGTAAACAACGTGAAAAAAAAGCCAAAGTAAAACAAAGTAGTTACAAACACTTTCTCATGGGCTTATAGTTGACTTTTTCAAAGATTTTTTGGGGGAGTGTAAATATAATGAAATTTAACAATGCTACACAAGAAGCATGCATGCATCATAATAATTATTGTGTCCAGGCATGTTTCCTTCTTCCATTTCCGTGAATTTTGTTTAACATCATGGGAGTCAAAAAATGGCATAACAAGGTGTAAAATTTGGTCAAATATTTAGAGACTTTTTTGCAAATATAAAAGATAGGTAACACAGCTTTAAGAAGTAAATAAATAAAAATAAATGAACAATTTAACAGAAATAAATATCAGATTATATAACGCTAAAAATCTAAATTTTGCAAGTGACTGAAATCTATTTTAGGACATGCTAAAAATAGCAATGCTGTAATCACCTTGTTTCGCTACTGTCATAGAATTGGAGGGTTTCATCATCACTTTCGTCATCCCCTTTCTTAGATGCCAGTAATTTGGCTGCATATTTTTGAAAAGCTGCTTGAACAATTTCATTTTCGGCATCATGATTGGGAAAAGTTATGAATGTTTGACAGGCTTTGTCAGAACACCGCCTACGCTGCCGCCGTCTTACGCGAGGTCGTGGAGAATTTTGACCAATGGGAGGGGGAGCGGGACATTGTATAGTGTTAGATTCAACAGGTTTCGAAGCTTGCACAACACCCTGTTCCTGCATGGCTTTAGTGGCTAAATTAATAACAGGCAAACTGTTAGTCACAACTTTAGGAGGTTGCTCAGCTTTATTTAGCTTGATCTCTACTGTATTACCAGGATTAGCTTTAACTTCATCCTTTGTCACTTCATCTGATCCATGATCATTTTCTTTTGAATTTGTTATTTCTTTTGAGGATGTTATTTCATTTGGATTTTCCAGTTCTTTTGGATTTTCTTTTGTCTTTGCCACTTCCTCAATTATTTGGGGCACTTTATTTGAAGATTGTTCTAAATCTTCAGTTTTATCTGTAGGTTTAGGCTGTTCCTTTACCGATTCAACTTTGGTCTGATCAGGTGGATTCAGATCAACCACAACTGAAAACTGAATATCTCGATTAACATCTTCTGCATGTTCATCAGTATTCTGCACAACCTCTGGTGAATTTTCTGGTACTACATTAACTTCAGCAACAACATCCACCACTGGTACCAAATCAGATTCTGGTGCAACATCCGGTTCTGCAGCTACTTCAACTTTGGGCACTTCGTTTGATTCGGGTACCGTCAATGATTCTGCATCTGCCTCCAGAAATACTTCTACTTCTGGTGTTGTGCCCGATTCTGGCACTGTCTCCAGCACAACACCCAAATTTGATTGGTCCACGCTTGTTCCTTCTTCTTCATTGTCCTTCTGAATACCATTGAGTCCATTTTGAGTTAAAGAAAGTCGTCTCTGTGTAAAGTCGACAAAAATGTCTTCTTCAGCTACTCCTAGAATTTTATCAATATCTATATCTTGGCCATGTAACACCTCAGCAGTTTTTGAGGAATTGTCTCCATCATTATTTATTGTGGAGCTTATTGTTAAATCTTGTTCCAAATTATTAACTGGGGTCACAGGAGTTGGAGGAATAATATTAAAATCTATATTGAGTTCATTATCACCTGACAATTCTAAATTTGTAAGACTCTTTCTTTTATCCTTCATTTCAATGTTGCATGTACTTTTCATGCTATTACTGACATTGGAGTCTTTGGAAGGAGTCTCATGACTGTCTACCTGTGCTGTAGCACCACTACTTGAAGATGGATCATTAAAGTTTCTATGAGGGCTCTGGCTTTTCACAAAATGTTCTGGATTTTGTAAATTTAATGGACTACCCGTTAAATCACTACCTACTGCTAAATTAAACTCTCCTGAAAAACGATTAGTAGGTGATGTCTTAGTGCTACTGGAAGCTGATATACTGTCCAGCGCAAGACATCCATCACTTGCAGCAGGTGCTGAAGTATCAGGAGAATCCTCCCAATGGTAAAGTTTGAAAAATTTATGGCGTAAGACTTCGCGTAATGTAGGACGGTTTTCTGGCATATAGTCTATCATTTTTTCAATCAAATCAAATAATTCTAAATGTTCTTTTCCCTTGTCTAATAGTCCGTGCTGAAAAATAATAAAAATGTCAGCTACAAAAAAAAATCCTGAAAGTTTTAAATCATTTTCAAAAATATGTGTTATGTTTTCAATTGTTGATTCCAAATTTTGGTTTATCAATTACTAAGGACAAAAACAAATTCATTTTTAAAAGTCTTGATATTCACATAATTTCGGTCACTATACCATATTAATAAATTATTAAGGTTTTGCAGGTACACATTTTATTTTATCAATTATAATTTAATTCACAGATTAATTCAATAATCATGCGGACTTCCTATACAAAAAAACAATATTCATCAATTGAAAGAAAAGAAGCAGAAATAAAGAAAAAATAAGAGATAAAGGGATGAATAAATTAGTTTTATTAGATTAATTTTACTTTATTAATGGAATGGGACCTTTTATTTATTTATTTGGCATAGCATAAGCATACCCTGCCTTGCACACAACTCATTATGGCTAAATATAGCAAATGTTTGGAGATAAACATGTAGAGAAAAACAATGTTTTTATGTCTAACTTTACACCAATGATTTACGTGTGGAAATTTTTGGCAAGAATCTTAAAATGGTCTAATTTTGGAACATATCCCAAAGTATGTTGTTGTAAATGTGATAAAATGTAGAATATTTGTTTGAAAATTAAGTTATCAGTTGTGGAAAAGAGCGTATATATATATATATATATATGCATTTAAAAAGATTATCATAAATTTGCACTACCTTAACATTTCTCAATTTATAAATAATATAATTTTATAAATAATATGAATTAACTGAAAACTATGATTCATAAACAGAATAAAAAAAAATCTATATTTCTGCAATACGATTGGCATATGTCTCAAATTTGGCACACAAGTTGAACTTGAGAATGCTTTATTGAACTGTATTTTTTTTTTTACAAATCAGTCAGAATGAAGTAACAGTGCCTTTTTAATGTCTTACGAGAGTCAATGATCATGGTAGGTCTTCATGTTCTGAACCTGATATTCAAACTGAACTATGCATAGGCTTATTTTTAGTGTTATGTACGTCACAACTAATATCAATGACTTAATAAGAGGATGTTTTGCCAGAATATACGTACATATCAATTTAAAGTAGAAATATTGTTATCTATCCAATTGTTATCTACCCACACAACTTAAATCATGTTCTATATTTGCATAATGTAAAATCACAATATATTATGGCCATTTACAGCTTACTCCCACATTTTCTTAAACATGTGGTTGCCATGCAAGATACGCTTGCATTCTGCAAGAGATGGCCAAAAAACAAGGTAAAAAAAATATTTTTTTCCCGTACAATCAGGGGACATAATCCTGGAAGTTATGGTCCAATATGCACGAATATCAAAAGGAATTGAAATCTCTGGGATATAAACATATTTAATAAAAATCTGATAAAAATACTGACTTATAGAGGGTCTAACACCTTGTTATTAAATACTTTTACACTATTTGTGTACACTTGTACAAGGAGCGCCTATTTTTTCGGTCAGGTCCGGTCTGATTTTCACGATATTCGAACTCAACTCTCATTAGGTTGTAACACTGATATATTTAAATGTTTTTTAAAATCGGGTAAAATTGTGATCTCTAGAGGATCAACAACCTAAAAACTGGATTTTTTTTAAATTCAAGGGCCATAATCCAGGTAGTTACGATCCGATATGTGTGAATATTGAAAGGAACTGAGATCTTTGGAATATAAACATATATTTTAAGTTTCATCAAGAACAGACAAAAACTGTGACCTCTAGCAGGTTGGTATTACATACTTTTACACTATTTGAACTCAAGGAGCGGCCAAACTCAATCATCGTCAGGGTGTAACAGTGATATAATAAACTGATTTTTCAAATCGGATAAAAATTGTGACCTATAAATGGGTCCACAAACTAAAATCGCATTTTTTTTTTGCACAATCAGGGACCATAATCCATGAAGTTTCGATCCGATACATGCCAATACAATATTGAAAGGAACCAAGATCTTTTGGAGATAAACCTATAATTCAAGTTTCGTCAAAATCGGGTAAGAATTGTGACCTTTTTAAAGTGCCCACAAACAAATTGTGGACGGACAGACAGGAGCGACAACAATATACGCCCACATGAAAATGTTGGTGTATAAAAAGCGTTTGAAAATCCCACTTCTTAAATTAGTTGGCTACCAAAATAGCGTCTGTTTACACATACCATGAGATATTATTTGGAAGTGTTCCCGGTCTTCATAAGCCCAGTTGCTGCAGAAAAGTAGGACATTAAACCCCATTTAATTTTAATTGAAAATATTTTCAATAACGAAGCTTAAACTGTCAGAATTTCTCAATTAAATACGCATATGTAGGACTTGGTATAATTAATGACGGCAAGTTATTCTGACAGCTGGCATTAGCTTAAGTGAAGATATGTAAAAATGCTCTTTATATCAACTGTAAATATCAGAGCCACACCTTGACCTTATACCTGTATGTGATGTAATTACACCAGTTGTTACAGCCATATGGCTTGGTAATATAAATCAAACTGAAGCTTCAACTACCCGTACTACTATTAATTGGTCAATCTTTATGTATTATAAACTGTTATTTTTAATAACTTTTGTTCACTGATTGTATAATAAAATATTACTTATTTCAATTTTAAATAAACTTTTATCGTTATCTTTTTAAAAAATAATTTTGTAAATATTATTGCGGAAACTAAGGATTTCTTGGAAACATAAATCAAGATGACAAGACACAATAATAAGAAAGCTTAAAGTTGAGAAAAAAAACTGACGCTGTGGTGAGTGGTTGTGAAACACTGGTTGATACCCCAGGCAAGGGCGAATGACAAGAATATATGAACAGATATCAATGTGGGCAATAAACGGGTGGGCAATAAACCTGTGGGCAATAAACGTGAGAGCAAGAAGACATAAAATGAAATAAAGTAATAGAAGAAGACAGAGAAGAGTATGAAGAGAGAAGACAGAAAAAGTGAGAAGAGAATGACATATAAGTAAAAAAATTCAGCAAAAATATATATTTCTATCTACCTGAAACTCAAAATTTCAATCAATCAAAAGTTATGAATATTCTATTAATAAGCAGTCATTGAATCAATCAAATCCAACAAATATTAATAATATGCATCAAAAATATCATTAACACAAAATGCAGTAAATCACACACGATAAAGTAGATAAAACTGTAAGAAAAACAAACAAGGGTTTAGTATTAAATAAATATGTGAAACATGATTTTGATTGATGGTCTATGCATACATAAAATGGAGAAACTGCAAACTTGTCGTCCAAGTTTAGTAGATTTTTACTAAATGACTCAAAACTATGCACAAGTTTAAAGTTATAACAATTCAGTAATATAATGATCACAAGTTTTTCAGATATCAAAACAATAAAGCTACATTACCAAAGCAAAAAATAATGTATTCTTTAATTTATGACATTACTTCTAATACACTTCAACTAGGGTATCGTGTTGTTTTAATGTTTCCTTAATGTTTAGTTTCAAACAGTTTACAAATGTTTACTTTTACAAGCAGAGTGTATAGTATTAGTAATTAAATAGGCCATCCCAATTTTAACAGAGCCTCTGGTTTTATCCAGACACCGTATAATACAGCTTGGGACACCGGTCCCCATTTCCAGATGAAGACTGACAGGATTAAATTGTTTGAAAATTATCTAATGGACCATTTTAAACTATGCAACAGCAGGAAACCAATATTTTTTGATGATTCTTAACAAAATTGAACAATTTACCAACAATGGTTTGAAACTAAACATTAAATACAGAAACTCTGACTAAAACAGTACAACTACAAAATACCCAAGTTGTAGTGATATTAAGTTACAAGCTCTTATTATGCATGTCAACATTTGAGTGTGTCATTAATTTGCTATTTCAAACTAAAATATTCTTTGGCTAAGAGAAAGAGTTATAAATCTGAGATAGGATTGTAACTCTTTTCATCCACTGAAAAGGCATTATCTAAAAGAAATTTACTTGAAGTTTTCACAAATAAGACAAAGGTCAAAATAAAAGTTTACAAAATATCTACATTACAGCCCATCTTGGTTACTGAAATCTGACTACAATATTGTAATCAGTTTTCTGATTTTTCACTGTACATTTCACTGTAATTCAACATTTCTTTTCATTGCATAAGTGATCAATTTATATCAATCACTCATGTGCCATTATTGTTTACCCAACAAGCATCCAATAATTCCCCATAAAACAAAACCCTGTTTACCAATACAGGCAATCTGATTCATCAATCAATAAATGAGATCTGACGAACTTCAACAAAGATAAAATATCAAATGTCAAAATAGTGAACTAAAACGTTACTGACATTTGATTTTAATTTGACTGGATGAAACATTGAGTAGAATTCAAATTATTTCAATCTGATTGGTCAAAAAGTGCTATGCGAAAATCAGTATCAAAAACACAACGGTTTTGCTCTCAAGTAAATAAACACTGTTGATTGTGGTCATGTCAGCGACTTCGCAAAACAGCCATCCAGATAATAACATAAATAATATAAAGTATGAAGTAAAAGAATAATAAATATACTGCTGACAACAAAGGATTACAATATAAAGCAGAACTAAACAGTTAGTAACATAAATATATGTGCATGAAATATAATAAGTGATGTGGTAATTAAAGGATTTAGTATTTTAGTAATCATTATTAACCCGTTTTTCTCTTCCAATCCCAAAAATATATTTAATAAGACTAAAGTTGTTTTGAGGTCAAAAGGTCAGTCAGTTCTGTTAAATATTGTAATTGGTCCACCAATTCTGTGAAATATTGTAATTGATCCATCAATTCATTGAAATATTGTAATTGATTATCAGATCAGTTCTGTGAAACATGACTGATCCATCAATTCTGTGAAATATTGTAATTGATGATCAGTTCTGTGAAACATTGTAATTTGTCACCATTTCCGTGAAACATAAATTTATACTCTATCAGTTGTATGAAATGTGGTAACGAATCTGTCAGTTCCATGATATGATATAAATAGTAGGTCAGTTCTGTGAAATGTTGTAGATAGTCTGTCAGTTCTGTGAAACGTCTATTCGATATCTCTCTTTATTTAGAATTGCTTATGTATAATGAAAATGGGTTTTATCCTTACCGATAACGGTTTACAATCATCTCGGACAAATCGCCCAGCTTTACTCTTTTCATCCCAATCCAATCTTCCACGGTGAAAATACTTTTGTTTTCTTTTTTAGATAAATTGAAAGGAAAAAACACAAAAAAAAGCGGGTAAAAGCATGCAAGAAATAAAGGCAATAATATATAAATAAATACACACAGCTACAATATAACCTGTCTGATTGTCACAGATACATAAAAACAATTATTTCTATGTTTAAATGAATAGAAAAAAAACCAAGAAGCAATGTCTAATGTAATAAGACACTGGAAGTTCAAAATTAATGAGATGATTTATTTCAATGAGTGAAAAAATAATTGAGTTTATGTATTGTATTAAATTAAGTCTTTATCAACCAGGTTATACTGTTTATCTACAAGATAATAATGCATGCTCTATATAAAGCACAATGCACGATACATAAACTGGTTAGTCATGACTACACTCATAGTAGGGTACACAAACTAAAAAAAAGTCGAGAAAGTATTTGTCGAACTCATTGATATTAGGAAATTGTTTATTCAAATATTATTTGATGTGGTCTAATTTTGAGATAGAAATTATCATAAAATTTTTCTCAATTCATCCGACAAAGTATTTCAACTTTTTTCAAACCAGGGTCTGAATTTTTGTTCGTGCATTTTGTACTTACGTAGAGCGGTTTACAGTTTTCACGGACATATCGTCCGGCAGACGTGGTAGGGTCCCAATCCAACCGACCATGCCAGAAAAAATTGGTTCTTTATAACAGAAGACAAAAAATATTATCTTTGCTGTTTTCCCACATTTTCTTTAATTAGGAAAATTCTCAAGAAAATGTTTTAAAGTAAATATTGCACGCAGGTAAAAAAAAAATAATTTTTAAAATCTTTAACGTTAGTTACAGCTTTATGTTTGTAAATGGAAGAATCCCAGAAATATGGTTTTTTTTCCAAAAAAAAACCAAAAAAATAACATGGTTCTGAGTACCAATTTGTGCATCTAATACTATAGGTTGATATGTCTAAAGATACCTTGATATAATAGGTTGGTACGTTTACAGAGTTTCATAAAGATATCTTGAACAGTTAATGTGATATGCTTTAGAAACAAAACTGACTGAAAAAGCTCATTTTGATAACTCTCTCTTAATTTGTTTGGCGCTCAATAATAAAGCTACACAATATAAAAAAGATGTAGAGTTTTTATAGCATTTTTTTGTTTTCTGGGATTCTCCTTTAAATTGAAGTCCAATATTATAAATGTAGAATATTGAGCTTACTTGGATTTTTTTGCTAATCTGTATGGTATAGATCCTAATATTCTCTCCATCATGGCTAAATGTTCTTTATTATCATGTGTCTGTAAAATTATAAATTATAAACAATCACTTTGTTATGTAATTAGCCTCATAAAGATAATAACAGGCCTTTCATCAAATAAAACTTATTTGGCTAGAGTAACGATGGGTATTGTTTACAAATTGCAGAAACTGTTGTGGAATTAAAGTTTTATGAAAACAAGCATTCTTAGAGTAATGGCCTTAACAAAGTTTACAATGTGTGCATTTATAGGAGACTGATACTGCAAATTACAGTTCTGTCAATACTTAGAGAACTGAATTGGGATAGAATTGATCAGCAACACTGCTATGCCAAACAGTGTACCAAATTTCAATCCTCAAGGTATAACCTAAAAAAGTGTCATAAAACAGAATTGTCATTGAATTGGTTGGTAAATCTGCTGTGCAAAACACTGTACCATGTTTAACCTAAAAAAATTACAGAAACCCAGATTTTCCTTGGTTTGATCCATCACTTGGCTTTCACCAGTGTGGGTGCAATAATGTCAATGTAACTAAATTATACAAACCTGGAATAATGTGAATCCTGTATATAGTTCAAACATTATAGTTCCTATACTCCATACATCACATGGTTGGGCCCACCCTAATTCTATAATAACAATAATAATATCTGGTAAATATCAAATTTTTTACTTTTTGAAATCAAGTTTGTTATTTGTTCAAATCAAATTTGTTACTTGTTCAAATCAAATTTGTTATTTGTTCAAATCAAATTTGTTACTTTTTCAAATCAAATATAATGAAATTGATAAAGTAAAACATCTAATACACTGGTAAGAATTTTTACTTTACAGACAAGTGGTGGTAAATCTGACATATAAAAAACCCAATTCCAACTATAAGAACTTTTTAGAATGTTTTTCTAAAAGGAACTAAGGAGCTTAACCTCTCTGATCAGGATCAAAATAGAGTGTTGAATTGAGATCTGATGTATTATTTATATTACTGCTCAGACAAAGCTTGATTTGTTTATTAATATCATTAAAACTATGGAATAATCAACACACAATCGGTTATATGTCAACATTCGATTTATCCAAGGATGCAAAACAACTTTTCATCCACATGACTGAAAATTCTCCCTAAAAGTGATCGTTGCTGGGAACCTTTAGATGTTTATTGAAAGTAAAGTAATGCAATTTTACCTAAAATGACTTCTGGAGCTCGATAATGTCGAGTTGAGACAATAGTACTATGATGTTCGTGATCAAATGTGGCAGAACCAAAATCAATCAAACGTATTTCAGTGTTTTTTATTGTTTTTTCATCTCTCCTCTGTAATGATAAATATCATAGTAATAAAATATAATACGCATTCAGCAATGAGTATACATAATTTATGTATTGAACACAGGTGATGATTCACCATATATCAAAAGAGTACATTTCATTTTTGGTGAAATACTAATTTAAAACTGAATTTCCTTTTCAATCAAGGTCCCATTCCATGAAATGAAATGGGTCTTAACATACTTCTTTGCTGCACCGAGCAGTGTATTAAGGGAAATATTGCCCGTACACCGGTGTTTCTGCTCCCTCTTCAGGCACATCAATGAAAGACTGGACACTTGTCCTTGCCAGGCCCTGGAGAAACAGGCTGGACAATACTGAGAAACTTTCTCGACCAATACCATGAACCAGTGAACCAGTACCCTTATCCCCAAGTCACCTTGGTGAAGGTGACATTCTGAGTCACATTTTATAGTTTCACTTTAGCTTCATTTGTTCTGATTGTTATATTTGGTTATAGATAGATGAGGTTTTGTTGATATTTTGTAAACGAATCGAACACTTGCAAGAAACATGACAAAAGGGCTTTACCCATTATTTCAGTTTTACAATAGAAAATATAAATATAGAGAAATGTGCTCACTTTTTTAGAATTATAAACGGATGTACAATCTGAATTAACAAATAATACATTTTCTGGTTTAAGATCAGTATGGGTTATCTGGTTTTCATGTAAAACTGAAACAAAATAATACATTTATTAAAATATACAACTTTTATTTACCTTTAGTTGCAGAAACTAACAGAAATATTTGTAGAAACATACTATTATCAATTTGGTGAAACATTATATATTAACAGTTCTATTAGACATAAATTGAAAGTTAAAGAAAGCTATGCAGAGACACAATATTTTGATTTAGTGAGAGGAGAAGAGCCAAGAGGGTGGACGTGCGAGACCTGGGATTAAATGAGACCAAGAGCCACAATGAAACTATTTTGATTATAATCACTATGACCCATAATGAAAAAATACTGTGAATATAGCAGGTTTACAGTTGTCTACGGATTATGTGTAACTGACTGCTTCAAAAGGTTATTTGCTTGAAATATATATTTATCTAATTCCTTTCACTCTCAATGTCTTGAACATTCTTTTATTGGACATATTGTTCGACAACAATCACCAATGGAATTAAGCCTGATATGTGATCGACTGTAAAAGCTCTCAGACAGATTATAGGAGTACTCTGTTGTGTGGTTTTTAGTGATACTTACAGTTAACAGAATAACAAAGTTGATAGGCTATATGTCGTACTTGATCTAAGCTATATGGAATATAGTGGTTTTCTTTCTGTAATTATACAAAACATTTATAGTACATTTAATTAAATAAATTTACCCAGATGTACATTGGAACTTTATACTAGCGTTCCGAGATTTCAATGGGTACCCGTGGATTTAGGTATACAACTTAAATTGAAAAGAAATAACCCAAATAGTGTTTCTGGGAAATTCACTAGATTTGTTCAACAGGGTTATACAACTTATTCAAAATTTTAGGAATGACATTATTCAACTGTAATGCGATTTGATAATTGCACAGATAACACTACTATAATTTATATCTAAGTTTGTTGACATGGTCATCCAGTAACTTGGAGATACATGTAGTATGAAATTTGGGAGAGAGGGAGAAATGGGGTTTAACGTCCACTCAACACAAACAAGGTCATTTCGGGACTAACATATGATTTTAATTTTATTTCAATAATTCGCTTGCGCGTAAGGGTCTTTAGCAGAAACCGGAGAAAACCCAGAAGGTTGGACAGGCGACCCTACTCCTTGTCACGTACAACCGGGGATTCGAAACCACGCCAGTTGACTCAATGACAGGCCTTATGATACAGCACGCACGTGCTAACCATTCGGCCATCCAACCCCCCATGAAATTTGGGATCTTATTGTCAATCAGATTTGGAAACTGAAAGTTTGCATTTCTGTGAAAAAATATCACAGAGTTTCATATAGTTGTACAAGCATAGGATAAGAGTCTTCCACACAGACTTAATTCATCTGATTCACTAAAATATATTTGCGACAGTACCTGTAATTCAATCTATTTTTGCTGATTAACAAGTTTCTTTATTGGTGAATCACAACAAAGTAAAAGCATAATAATGTACAATAATAGAAATTGTGAAACATGAATACCAATAAACAATTCCAATTATCAAGATTAATGTAAATTTAGTGGTTTTGAGGTCAAGGTCATGGTTTTCTCACTCAAAATAATCAAATTAAGATGCTAGCTACTCGACTAGATAATACTGATTAACAATATAATAAGCAGAAACAGAAATAAAAGAATCCTTGATTGGATTTATCAATTGCCTAATTAACTGTCTGTTTTATTTTAGGAAAATGAAATCTGAAAGAGGTTTTTGAAATTAGAGAGGCCATTATCACTCAAAGAAAATAAATGTAATTGAAAAATAAGCCCATCATACAAAATAATAATCTGATACACCCAAAAATCTAAGCACTATCCTATTTAGGGTTAAGTATTTTAGACCTTAAACTGTTGGACAACCAGTATGAACTGTATATGACTTGTATCAAATCACTGTAAATTGAACATTAATTATTTGCCTCCAACGTGCTAATGCATCACTAACTTAGTTTATATGTATGGTCATCTTGTGTCCAACCTACATGTATTTAACCAGTTGGACGTTAAACTCCATTTCATTTCATTTTATTTCACTAGTTCATAGACATTTATTTTGAAGATCCAAGTCTAATGTTTTGATTTACAATTTCATGATTATGGAAGGAGAGAGAGAGAGAGAGAGAGAGAGAGAGAGAGAGAGAGAGAGAGAGTTTAATGTACACCCAACACAAACTAGGTCATTTCAGGACTAACATATGTTTTCATTTCATTTCAGTAATTCGCTTGCGTGTAGGGATCATTAGCAGTGATGTAAGTAGAATATAGTGTTGATAGACCAATATATAATAATGGACATATCATTTCTGCTTAAACAGCTGAGGTTTTACAAATTGATTCATGGACAAAATAACGCAACCATTATCCAAGTTTTAATTATTGTGTGTATCTAATAAGATAGGCCCACTCGAATCAATCTGTGTAATCAAATAGATGAATTGCAGAGTCATCAAACATCCAGCACAGCAAAATAACAGCTTGATTACCTTAAAGATTCATTATGTAAGAGCTATTGCAGGTTGTTATTTTGGCTTCAAATGTTGTAAACTATTATTTAGACAACTCTAAAGACCATCGGATTGCCAAGATTTAAACTGATTTAGAAATTTAACGATAAAATGGATAATCAAGACTTAGTCGTGATTATCATAACCGGTGCTAAGATAATAAACAATCTACACTACATCTTGTCAATACTTCAAACACTAATGACTGATTAAAATAGAGTAATATATTCACTTTTGATTATCTATTTTTGAACTGTTACACCAGGAATGGCCAGCTCTGTATCCAAATCTTACATAATGCATCTTTAATTAACTAATATTTCATTTTTTATAAAAAACTTAAATTAATTTTGTTGGAAATCTGTTAAAACAGCCTAACATTTGACATTATGATGACGAGATGGATTTGGATATTACATTCTCTCGAAATTCTAATTTTTACAAACTATGGTTTTGTGGCAACACAATTATAGTACCCTTTATAAATAAATTTCTACACAAAATACTTACCAAAAAGTCAAATACACTGAGACCCAACATTTCAAACACAATACACATGTGACCATGATAATCAAACCAGTCAAACATTTTTACACATAAACTGAAAGTAAACAATTACCATACATATATTTTATCATTTATAATGTCTGAAACAGGAATATATATAACAAAATTTCAATGTAGCTGCAAAGAAATTTAAAACTAAAGAAAATGACCATCCAGGACCAGAGAGGTTTGTGTAGTCCTTTCATTAAAATCTGCAAAAGAAAATAACCTCAAAAAACGAAACAGTAAACTTACTATTTATTTTCAGGGTCTTTTTCTTTTAACTTTTCTAAAACATTTATTTCTAGCTTGGCAGCTTCTCTGTATTTTTCCACATTTTTTATAATTTTTAACGCAAGGCGATCGCCAGTACTGAAAAATAAAATTCAAAATTTATACAATATTGCACTAAATGGAGACAAAATATTGTAAGGGGAGCATGCCTCTGACAATTCCTGCCCCCCCCCCCCTACCCCCCAGCAAACTTGCACCATAACTCATTAAAACCAGAGAATCCATGTAAGCAAATTACTCTCCAATCTATTGTTCCCAAGGAGGTTTTTTCACAATTAACAAGAAGGAAGTCTAGAATGTTTTTGTAATTGACATTTATATTAACTTCATTTTTTTAATAAAAAATATTACCATCATTAAAGCCAATATATGGTCTTATCTCATATAAAGGTCCATATTCTAGGAGTGTCAAGGTATAGCAGTCCTATATTTTATAGATGTCTATACCTTGACCAAAGAGCTTGTGTCTATCATGGAGAACTATTGTTTAGTCACACACCCAGGGTCTTATCCGTGTGCTGCTATCACAGATATTCTGTTATTCAAAAGGCTATTTAAAGGACAATATTGGTGCCAGTCATTATCACATATGTGATAGAGCTGGTTAAACACATTCCAAATATAATTTTATCTCAGAGATCATTGCTACGATAGCTGAGTAATACAGTTTTTCTGAATCGGAAGTGACAAACGCCAAAGGAAAACACGAGTCGCCTATCTATATAACTGACTGATGTGACGAATGATAACGGATATACGGGCGAATTTCTGCTCACTAATAATTCGTCACATCAGTCAGTTATATAGAGAGATGACTCGTGTTTTCCTTTGGCGTTCGTCACTTCCGATTCAGAAAACTTGTATTACTCAGCTATCGTAGCAATGATCTCTGAGATAAAATTATATTTGGAATGTGTTTAACCAGCTCTATCGCATATGTGATAATGACTGGCACCAATATTGTCCTTTAAATAGAATATATAGTAATCGATGGTGATTACAAATAATTAAAAATAAAATAAGATGATTAGATTTTTGTTGCTTATAATATTAATTCCATCAAAACTGAAACTGACTAAAGAATAAAGAAACGGATAGCAGAAAATGAAATTTGAACGCTTCACGCTTTCTAAACATCTGAAAATGCAGCAAAATAGATCCTAAATTAGATAATTTGATTTGAAACATGACTTGAAATATTTGAACAGCAAAAGCAGCATTTAATAAAACTTAATAGAAATTTGATACAGTGTGGAATTAAATAAGCCTTTATTGAAACAGACAAACATTTAAAGATGCATTATGTAAGAGCTAAATCTGACTATTGCAGGTCTTTATTTTGGCTTCAAATGTTATATAAACTATTACGGGTATTAAAACATTTATTAACATGGTTAGCTCATAATCAATGCTCTGATTTTAAGTAGACTAGAACACATTGGCCATTTAATGATTTAATTCAAAAAGAGAGAAGCGAGGCTAAGTCCCAAAAAACAAGTACCGTTGTTACGATAATAAACAGTCTATGCCACATCTTGTCAAAACTCCAAACGGTGATAAATTTGCTCAGAATAAAGTAATTTGAATGAAATTTTCAATATATTCATTTTGAACTATTAATATTATGCAGGAATGACCAGCTCTGTATCTAAATCTTACATAATGCATCTTTAATTTATTTTACAATGGTTAATTTAAAGAATGTGACATCTGAAAATAACTAAATGAACACGATCTAAAAGAAGAAAAAAACAAACAAAAAACAATCTTAGCGTGAGTCGACTGTAAACAGATTTAACCCCAATACATACAAGTAAGTACACAATCTAGATTTAGATAGACCTATGTCTAATTGTACAAACTAAATAAAGATTCTAAACCGACAAATTTTGACATCAGATGAGAGACAGCATTTGTAAAATTAGATAGATTATTTTCGGTGAATCCAGTTGCTTACCTCGTCAAAATTGTTTTTATCGTTTGAGAGGCTGCCAAAATGATTGTTCATCACTAACTGACAAAACATCATATATATCTTTATCAAGACAAAGGTGGGATATACAAAACATTATACTAATAGAAAATATAGGTCAATTGAAGACTAACATATTATTTTTTTTTTTTTTTTTTTTTGCCTTGGTTCGTGTTGGGTCCTTAATTAAGATTACAAAGAGGAAGGAAACCTTGACAATTCTGAAAAAAGTCATTTAATTGTTCATGTAAGAAAACAGGAGAGGTAATTTGAATCTGATCTGCCACAAGTATATCATTCACAGGACCATTTATGGGACCAAATAAGACTAACATAATGTAAACTTGTACATGGATTGTTGAGGAAAGGGGTTAACAAGATTTAACAAAAGTTGTTCTGAAAATTCCGATCATAAGGCCAAATTGTTAAAGAATACATCATTGGCTCTTAAGAACAGACATATTTCTGAAGAATTTTAGATACAGCACACTTATTTGATTGAATAATTGAACTTAATACATATTCAAAACAAAATTATCTTATTTATAATACCATACATTCTACCATATGTGTAAACAAAATATAGTATTCCCTGGAACCAATCAAACCACAGCTATCCTTCACTACAGCATTACAATAGTTTACAGTACCTCTTCTCAATGAGGTCAGAGGTCACATACCATACATGGTTACATTGATTCTGTGATCCAGCAACAAGTCATTATAAATCAGCTGTTCCAGTTAGTACCATTATAACCATATGTTTAGTCTCAATCAACTAGTCTCAATTATGACAATGTTTTACAATATCTGATAAAGTGCAATTGGCTTTTAAAAATAAAATATACTCTGGATTGGGGTGAAGGTTATACATTACAAACCATATGTATTTGATTAAAGATACGTTCCCAGAAAAGTATTTATCAGGTGGTTATTTCCAATAAAAGTACGGCAATTTTATACGGAAAGTATAGACACCCAATCTTACGAGAAAAATACTGGATTACCTGAAAAACACTCATGGAGTGCATACATGACAAAAAAGTAAGGGTTTCCCTAATCGGCAGCTCGATGATTAGGAATGTCTGTTGATAAGTTAGTACCATAATAACCATATGTTTAGTCTCAATCAACTAGTCTCAATTATGACAATGTTTTACAATATCTGATAAAGTGCAATTGGCTTTTAAAAATAAAATATACTCTGGATTGGGGTGAAGGTTATACATTACAAACCATATGTATTTGATTAAAGATACGTTCCCAGAAAAGTATTTATCAGGTGGTTATTTCCAATAAAAGTACGGCAATTTTATACGGAAAGTATAGACACCCAATCTTACAAGAAAAATACTGGATTCCCCGAAAAACACTCATGGAGTGCATACAGGACAAAAATGTAAGGGTTTCCCTAATCGGCAGCTCGATGATTAGGAATGTCTGTTGATAAACTTAATGAAGAGTTGGATGTAAAACACTTGCTGAGATAAAAATCACGAAAAAGAAGTGGGCAGTGGATAATCTGAGAATTTAATTAGGCTTCGATATTTATGATAAATGGATAGCGATTAAAGACAACATCGTCTTGTATATGCAATGAATTCTCCTCTGACTTCGCACCCGTTGCTAGCTAGTCTGTCAGCTAAGTCATGTGACACACACAAACATGACCTAGTTCAACAGATCTTTTACAGCAGGGGTATTCCCTCGCGTAAAGTGTTTTGAGAAGGATTTGATGCAAAATTTTGATGGATTAATTAGTTGGAATATGTTTTTAGTCCAAATACATCAAATCACCCAGTTTGTACATGGGAACGTATTGAACATGAAATAAAATGGGATTCTATGTCCTATTTTTCTGAACCAACTGGGTTAATGAAGACAGGGAATACGATGTGCAGTGGCTATGAGGAAAATTTTCCCTGGACAGTGATATTTCCACCTGCTCTTTATCGAATTCCAATTGGCAATGGATATTTTACAGGCAACCCAACATATTCACAGGACCTCGCTTTTCTGTTCCATCGGAACAGTCAGATAATGTTCCTTGCCAGGCCCTCCGGTTCCAGCACAATTGACAAGAGGAAATTATGCCGAAAAATGCTGAGGAACTTTCTCTGTGAGCCAGTGCCTGATTACAGGTTGAAATGGGAGTGCTATACAGTCTACAGCGCCAAAAACAAATAAAGAGTGCATTATCATTAGTCACAGCATGGGGGCAACAATTATCACCTTCTGCCATTCGATTAGTAATCTAATATTAACAGAATATATACTATCATAGGTAAATCTAGTTAATACATATGGTAGATATAAAACCGGTGATAGTCTGAAGAGTGGAAGATTACATTTATAATGGAAGTGAGCCAAACTGGTCAACAAACACCGCCTACATCACTACATTCTTACACACTCTTAGACAAACATATACATCTTAATTCATTCAATTACTTACTACTACACATTTATGTCTCTTAATATATTTATTCTCAATGGATACAATGTCTGACTGAAGAAATAATAGTAATAGATTGTCTCACATAGTGGGCATCCATTTCAGAAGTATCGATCAAACAAGGAAATTAAATTCAGTTCTTTTTTTTTTTTTAAATTATTGCTGTTCTATAACAGACTGCTTTATTTAATCTAATATGTTCTGACACAGTGACATATCTAAAATGTCTTCCTTTCTCACATTTCTGCGTACTAGGTCCTATACTTGAGTCTTGGCTGTATACAATCATGGTGTTGGGCCCCGGGCATCACCAAACCTATGAATGCCACTAGATAGTTTTTTTTCATATGCTGTACAGTGTACATGTGTTTTTTTCATATGCTGTACAGTTTACATATATGTACCTTTAATTCTTTATTTTGTGTCCATCTGACATGTTGCCTCATAAAATGACATTCAGATGACCTTTGACTCCAGTAAGAGCTGGCCAATGAACAGGTTTAGAATATTTTATGTGAAGGAAAGATAGCTGCATGTTGATTGAATGTTTACTTGTGGAGTTTATTTTACACATAAAGATAACGACATGACATGTAATTTCAGATATTGTCTGGATTTGGAATGAGGTTTTACTGTGGGTAATTCTTTTTTCCTAAGGCTTAGTATACCACATATTTTAGACAATTTGTTGCCCTGACTGTTGAACTACCAAAGATTGGAATATGGAACAAAATTCAAGATACATATTGGATATATATCAAATGTAGAGATACTCAATCTTACTAGAAAAATACTGGAATCCCTGAAAACTATGGGGCACCCACTGGACAAAAATATAAGGGTGTCACTAACTGGGCCTGTCTGTTAGAGTGACTTTTTATATGTTGATCTAATGGTTGTGAGAATATTGAGATGAGAGACTTGAACGTTTTACTTTTTCTGCAAACCCATAGACACACACTCTTACCTATCTTATTTATATCTCATGCCACCCACTACATATCAAAAACAAGGGACCCTACAGTCAATTTCCGAGACTCAAACGCATCTGCTCGCACCCTGCAGACTACACTTAACATGCAGATGACCTTGTAAATTACTATCTTCAACAAGTTTACCACAGAGATATATAATCCAATCAAATCAATCCAAGCCAATATAATTACAGGAAAACTCTTCTACACACAAAAATAAAACCTAAGAACAACAAACGTCCAGTCTTTATAACGGATTATAATCCCACTTCGGTACACATCCGCAAGATCATTCAGGATATTGGCATATCCTCCATAGCTCGAACGATTGCCTCAGGGCTCCCCCCCCCACCCCGAACCATGCCTTACAGCTTACAGATGAAATCCATCCCTCAAAGATCTTTTAACCTCAACCACCATTAGGAACCTCACACCTAATGGGAAATGTTATGCCTATTTAGACTCCATCTGTAACTTGCCTCAATGCCAATATTGCAAAATGCTAAACTCAAGACCACATTCTGTTCTAGTCAAACTAGCAAATCATATAAATGTCTCAACAACTTGACTTACCAAAGTAAAAATTTAATCTACTTGCAATCTATGCCATAAACAATATGTAGGCAAAACCAAAAGATTGCTCCGCATTAGGCTAAAGGAACACTATGCTGATATTACCCATAAGAGAGACACCCTAGTTGCGACTCACTTGTACTTACTGAGACACGCCAGTCAAAATCTAGACTATCAAATAATTAAACAACTTGGTACCAACCCTGACCTCTCAAAATTTACTACCAATAGATGCACCATTGAACTTCATTGGATTATACGATTGAAAACTTTCAACGACAAAATCTGAACTTGGGCATCCCCCCATTTATTTTCTTTGTTATAATAATGACAAATAGAATCTAAAGCGGATTTGTAGGAGGTTGACAGGGGGTGGGGGCTCCTAGTGCATCCCAGGTCCTTAACATTGGACAGGTTTTGTCCAATAGTTTTCATATTGTGTTGTAAAAAGTAATAGAACAGAGCACCATGCATACAATTAATGTGTAACGCAACTGCAGTCACTTATACATACATCTAGCTGTGGAACAGTTCCTGTTGCTAACTTTTGGATCAACTCCAAGCATGAGTAACCCATTTGTTATAATCAGGATAAATTCTATGCAAATGTCTAAAATTATATTTAAATTCACAGGCGATTGCACATTCTAACTATTTATCATAGAGTTACACTAAACATTCTCTTTCAATTAATAAATAAATGTTTCAATTCCCAAAATACTACCGGCAATGAAACGTAAGCTCATAAAACTATTATGCATGAATATATATGAATTTTTGTGGAAAGTTTGGACTTCAGAAGTACAGGCAGCAACATATTTTTCTCCTTTTATATAAATAATTACAACAGTTCTATGAAAGACAATTACTCACTTTTAATTATGGTTAGAAATGATAAAATCATTGCACAAACATAGCTCTGATCTTATTGAAATTTTGTGATTATCCGAAGACGAAATAAACCACAATAAAATTTGCTAATTGTTCTCAGTAGAACAGTTTTGATCATTTTAATTTGTTCAATTACTAAATGCCTCTTAAACAGTAACGTACAACTTCCAATATGTAAGAGAAACAAGATGGCAAACATCCAAATACTATAAAAACCTCCTACCAACGTATATCGGTAATTATGACTACTATTTTACATGTTTATAATTTAAATATAATTGACAATTATTGCCTCATTACTATCCATATGGGACCTCACTAAAACAAGATTTACTATAAGGTGGATTCCCATTATACTGACTGGATACTGGAGTAAGCATTATCTCTATAAAGGAAACCCTTGTATAATGAATATATACAGGTTTTGCTATATAACATATTTATAACCAGCCAGTGGATACATCATGGCTATACATATCATATATAGAGTGCATTTTATCAGAAATATCTGATGCTTCTTCATTTCATCAAACAACATCACATAAATTTTAAAAAGATAAAAAGACTGGATGCTAAATGTAATTTCTATATTGTTCCCAAAAAATCCTTTAAGGAAATGGTGAGCTATATGAAACGACAGAATGGCACTGACTGTCGGATAACATCAAGTCCCAAAGTGCTATGGTATTCATGGAACTGTATGTGCTAGCCTTTAGATTTCCATACTGCAGTTTGTACTGTACATGTACACAAGATCCTTTTACAGTACAGATGTATTTTATTTAGGATATGTCTGTTGGGTGTGTTATGCAAGTACATGTACTCTAGATGTAGTCTACACAATGATATGAAAGCGCTGAAAGTCAAACATAACACATCACAACCAGTCAAAACCATTAGTCAAAATACAATAAACTAAATTGACAATAACGCATGAAATTGTGAAAATGTTAAGTGATATCTGGTAATGCTGATCACACATTGGCACCTAGAAATGGACACAAATGGGTCACAACGCATGTAATAATATAATATGAATGTATATAAACTGATTTACATTCAATCGTTTCTGTTTTACTGTAATGTCTAATCAGTTATGTTCGGCGAATTACGTGAAGAATACAAATTGAATATCAGTCTTTGGCTTCATTACAAATGGCTTTCGAAAGCATTCTGGCACATGATTCGTGTGCCAATTTTAAAATTCTGATTTTGTCTTAAATATTAAATATCAAAAGCCCATCAATGTTGATTTAAATTGACCAATAAGTCATGTTTTCAATGTGGAAGACAATGGATGATATTAAGTTAGAGACTTGGTTCCTTTAAAACTAATGTAATCTGATCTGTTTTTTGTCTATGAAATACTTTCAGATATTAATTCAATGAAATAAACTAATAGTCAAAAACAAACAAAATGATCAAGTTCTACAGTTTCCAGGTCATCTCAATTGAACATTCAATCAACATTTGGATGGTTAAGATTAAGAATATTCAAATAGTAAAATCTACATTCAGTGTGACCATTGGTTTCTAGTGGTCCCGGTCATGACTAATAGCATTAAGTTCATTGCATTTCAAAAGTAAGCTAAAACAATGTGAAGGGTTAATGTGGTCTACCCTACCATAAGTTATTGATCCTCATTTTTATATTAACTTGAGTCTAGGGTTAGGATTCACATATATCAATCCATCAGGGGTGAACTAACTAAGTTAATCATAATATAGCATTATGGAACAGATCCAATACATGATTAACTGTAAGTACTTCTTTTCTGACAAAAATTATTAATATTCATCAACTCTCACTGGATAGATAATTTCATCAATGTAAATATTAAAGATGCATTCCTTTCCCAACTGGGACTGTAATCATGCTGCAATTCATTTTACGATATGGGAAATATATGAGTAACAATTTAATGGACTACAAGATAATATTGTGTATAATGGATAGGCACTTCCCTACCTCACCCAATAAAATTCAATGGGTTATAAACCCACTTGCCCGGTTAGATCAAGCTGAATGTCTTCAAAAAGCAGAAATTGACAGGTTGTTGACAGGTCAATTATAATTTTAGTTTTCCCATTTATTAAAATAAACTTTTTTATCATATAGTTTTAATAAGATATACAAAAAAAAAAATACTAACTTCTGTAGATCCTTGCATTCTGCAACTTTTCCAAAAGTTCCTTCTCCTAAAGTACCGACTATTTCATCTAAAATAAAAACATTTCATAATCTTACAACCATATTTTTACTTATATATAATGCAAATGTATATTTAACAAAGGCCTTGAGGTGGGGAGGATAGAATGGGGGACATGCTTATCAATGCTTTTTTTTTCTAGAACCGTGTTGTTTGTTCTGTGAAAGTTATTCTACTGTCATATCTTCTATGCATGTTATTCCTTTTCATGCTTGGGAATGATTCCAATAGCAGTTTGAAGAGCTAAAATACCCATTTATGCACAGGTCTCCAAATGCACCTAAAAAACAATGTCTGGAGTAGGCATTTTAAATTATATTCTCTAGAGCTCAATGATATCAACTTATTCTTAATTTGTCTTTATGTTTATGAATTCCTTACATTATTTATACATATTATTGTGTTTTAACACATTTAACTGTTTTTGTCTGTTTAGAAATTTTATGCTTTTCGTTAGATTTAATGATTATTCTAAAATCCAATAATAAGATGTTAACATTTCTCAGACTATGTACAATAAAAAGTTTTACCAAACAGCATATCGGTGCAAAAATTATTTATCCTATTACCTCAAGGGCTCCTACTTTCTCATGATTTCATTTTTTTTATTGTTGCTCTCGAACTGGCCAGTTAACGACTGAAGGATAACTCATTTCTATCTATTTTGGTTTTAGAATTAAATTATCATCTAAAGAACACTTTATCAGTCTTTAATTTTGTTAAATTTGAATAATAGTATATCCACGGTTTTAAAGATGACTTTCTAAAAATGGCTAATATTGAAATTACGTTCCTCCAATTACTTTAGCTTTGTGTTTGTTGGGTTAACCTAGTTGTAAAATGAATCGGACAGTTCTGTATCACGACCGGATGCTTGTTTTAAATCATACCAAATCAAAGACATTTATTGATTGACCATAGAATTAACTCCTATCTTGACGTCTCAAGATTTCACCATTTCATCCTCCTCCGCTTTTATTTTCTTTCACTATAGCTATCGTATTTAGGTGAATGTGTCGATCAATGTCTATTTGGATATCAAGATGTCGATTTTATCTTCTTTTTTTATTATCAGAAGTAAAGTTACTCAAGTGTTTACGATTAATGATTATTCTTTTTGATCATGACTATATTGAAATCTTCGTTAACAACATTACGTAGACTAAGAAATTTACAATTCAAATCTGAACTTTGATAAAACAAAATATATTTTGATGAAAAATCTGACATGCAAAATCATACTGAGAGAAATCAAAAGAATATCTATCGAGTTTCTGTCTTATCCTTTTTTTTATGTGCAGTTCAAAAACTCATGTGTAATGATTTTCTCAATATATATGTTCTAGATCAATATTATTAGTATAATTTCTTCAGATTTGAATTCTAGATCAAACAGTTCTCATCAAAGTGGGCAAAATATTTTGGACAACTGCTTTATTTTCATTTTTTCACCTCTTTTAATTATCAATAGTATCAATGTTCATTTTGTATGCAGTTTTATGTCAGTAAATTGTGTATAATTTGCCACAATTATAAAGAGATCTAATATATTATCATTTGGATATTAATTTTAGATTAAATTCATTTTAGATGATATAAGGTCAGTTTAGATGATATATCAGAGAGATAACCCCAAAAATACTTCCATTTTTTAAATTTAAAAATTGATCAAAAGCATTAATAAGCATGTATTATGAAACAAAACAAAGGGAGGCAATAAATAGATATTTAAGAACAAGTTGCATTACTTGTATTAAAGTCCTTAAGTTCTGCTGGTGTGTTGTACCGATGAATGGGGCTTAGAGGGTGGGGAAGGGGACTTTTCGGATGGTTGATATAAAAAAAGAATGAATACATTAGTGGTTATGATATCAGATATAATGCAATATCATCAATAATATGCAAATTACTGCATATAAAAATATATAAATTAATATAAAAGTAAACCAAAAAAAAATTTGAAAAAAAAAAAAAAAAAAAAAAAAAAAAACATAACATGAGGATAAAGAGCCTATCTAAACATTACGAAATTTGTGTACATCGTGCTTGTAGAATATCTCCTTGACGATATATAAGATGGCCGTCAATATCATCTTCCACAGAGGGCGCTCTTTCTCCACTGTTTTTCCTGTCCTGTTATTTTCATCCCATCAACACATCAGATTCAGCACCATATTTCAAGCACCATAGGTCACACAATTTCATCAATTCAGGACCAGTGATTGTTGTTGTATTTTCATTCGTTTGTGTTCAGAGTGGAAGGTAGCCATGGCGATATGCGATAGAATAAGGGGGGGAACACGGTAAAGATCGTGTCATATTTTTCACAACAATGCATCAAATTAAATTTTTACTCAAGTATTCATAATCGTGACAGTGAAAATATAATTTACGTTACATTCTTAATATTTAATTTAGTTATTTCATTATTAAATTATATTTAATATAATATAATATTTAGTTTAAATTAGATAAAATTTTATTCCTTGTGAAACATTGATTGGATTTAATAAAGAATTATAAAGTATATAAAAACATTTGTCAAGAGACCTCTTAATATGAAATGATACCACCATATGTCCAACTGTTAACCAAGGTAACATATTTTATTATAAACAAATCCATAAATATTCCCTTTAATTTGTTTATGAATTAAACACCGAAAACAACTGATTTAAATATAGATTTGGTATATAAGTAGGTTTCCAGAATATTCAAATACGTAAATTGTCTAGAAACTTAGAAATTAGCCTATTAACTTCTAAAATAAACCTAGTCCTGACAATAACCAAAATCGTTGCCAAAAATTCTAAGCAGACGTCATTACCAAACTATCCACCTACTTTCCCATAAATCAATTCATACCATTGCATCTCAATTTTTTAACCTTTAAAACACAGATCAACACCACAAAAGAACAAGAACAAATCAAATAAACTATATTTCTTTTTGAAAATCAATGTGTTTTCAAAATAAGTTAGTCACAAGTAAATTAGTGATCCAACTTCTGTTTTTTTGGGGTTTTTTTTTTTTACATCTACACAAAATTGTTAAACCTACTAAATTGAGAATATGAATGAATGAATGAGGTTTAATGTAATACTTTTCTCCACCAACCAGACAGGCATATGGGATGCAGTGTGCTATGATGCTAATTTTTCTTGGACAATAGTTGAATTCCAAGTGTAAAGGGTTCCAGGTGAATTCCAATTGTGTAAAGGGTTCTATCATTTATGCCAATATGTACATGGGATCTCAATTTTCAGTACCATCCAAAAGACTATAGCTAGACACCGTACCTTGCTAGGCCCTTGCTTTTCCATGATCCAAATGATGCAGCACTGCTGACAAATCGGAACCAGATATGAAGAATACTGATGATTCTTTTTGGCCTATGCAGGTGTCAGTATGATTTTTAGAAGTGAACTCACTGTGAAGCTCATAAAACTTTTTGAGATTGGTTTCCATGTTAATACTTTTATTCATGAAAATGTCTTCCTTATCAAAATCAAGAATGGGTTTTATTATCTGAAATGATTTGTACTTTTCTGAAATTGATTTTTTTGGGGGTTGTATTTGGATAATGACAGAAAGCTAGTCATTTCTGCCCAGATATATCACTTCAAATCTATGGCTTCATTCACACACATTTACCCAACCTTTTTAATGTGTATTTTTTATATATGACTAATAATTTATGTACACAGTGCCAAATAAAAGCTTGGTAATTCATTAAACCAGCGTCTGCTACAGAGAAATGAAATGGGATTTAATGTCCTAATTTGATGTCCAAGCTATTATTTCACCCAAGAATTGTGCCAAAGATTTCCTCAATCAAACAAAGTTCATGAGAAAATGGAAATTTCCCAGCACCACAGATGGGAAATTTCACCCAGGATTATTTCCCTGCCAACTTTGAATCCAAATACTTTTTTGCTCATATAGAAAATGGATTATTCTCCTAAACTTTACTTCAATGTCTTGAATGAAATAATTGAAATAATGACTGAGTTGAAGGTACTAAATCAAAATATTTAGTTCAGGTAGAAATATATTCAACAGCTGAGTGAGTGGGAAGATAGAAAGAGTGAAAGTTTAGACAAATGGTAATTGGATATGATTCTACCATCTGTCTATTTTATTCTTCACACTCATCTTATCAACTGCTACCATCAGTCTATTTTAGTCACAATACCTTCTCTATCTACCTAGTATACAGAGTATATTACTTTATTACATACAGACTGTAAACAATCCACATGTAATACATATGTTCAATGTATACACAGAAGTTGAAGAAGGTTGTAGAGCACGTAATATCAATATTACATTAAATTACACGAGTCTCCATGAAAATTATTGGCAATTTATTATTTTACATTTACTGGATTAAAACCGTGTTGCAAATGGAGAAAAAGTCAGCTGATGACATAGTTTTATTTTTTTGATATCCTGTAACCATTTTCAAATTATTGGTAATTTATAATTTTATATTTACTTGATTAAAATCTCTTAAAGATGGGTTCCCAGAAAAGTTTTTATCGGGTGGTTATTTCCAATAAAAGTATGGCAATTTTGGTATATATGGAAAGTAGAGATATCCAATCTTACTAGAAAAATACTGGATTCCCCGAAAAACACTCATGGAGCGTATACAGGACAAAAATGTAAGGGTTCCCCTAATCAACAGCCCGACGATTAAGTGTTTCTGCACCCTTGATGTCAAAGGTTGATAAACTTTATGAAGAGTTACACGTACAACACTTTCAGAGATAAAAATGACGGAAAAAGACGCGGGTAGTGGATAATCTGAGAATTTAATTAGGATTCGATATTTGTAATAAATAGTAAGCGATTAAAGACAACATCGTCTTATGTATGCAATGAATTCTCCTCTGATTTGCAAGACGTGACGTAAACATGACCTGGTTTGATCGAATATTAATATCAGGGCATTCCTTCGCAATTACAATGTTTGAGAAGGATTTGAAGCATAATTATGACAAATTAATTAGTTTGAATATGTTTTTAGTCCATATATACCATTAAATCACCCAGTTTGTACGAGGGAACCCATCTTTAAACCACAAAAGTCAGGTGATGACATTTTTTCTTTAATATCCAGTAATGATTTTTTTAAGTACCACTTGGATTTGGTGAATGCAATAAAGGTAATTTGAACAGTAATTATCAAGAATTCCATAAATTTTTACGTAATTTTTATCCAGTGAACTTATTACTTATCATTCACAGAGCATAACGTTAAGCTCCAAATTTCTTAATTACTACTTTTCTTATAACAAGGAATCGGAAGGAAAAAGAGTTTGCTTAATCTTTGTTCCGCTACTTAGTGTAAATGATCATCAACATTTGAAACAAATCTGCAGAATGAAGACGACACACCGAAAATGTAGCCTACATTATCATATCATTACACATAATGGGAAAAGACATTACAATTTAATCTAAGTCAATGAATTAATAGTTTTGAAGATGTTAATACATGTGGAAAAATTGTAAGACTTTACTTTTAATTACAAGTAATCTGAGAAGCAAGAAATGAATAAATATGTAAGTGGTTTCCTTTTCCTACTATCTTATTATATAACATTAAACATATATAGACTGTGGAGGTAATTAATTAGTGGTAGGCTTCAGCTTAACATATCAATTTACATGTAACAATGACAGAGACAGAAGAATGATCATTAATCCACTTTGTGAAATTCAATCCATTTGTCACCTAAATTAATGTTTGGATTTAAAGGAGCTAAGTCTTTTTACTACTTATCAAGATAAAACAATATAACAGCTGTCTATTTTGACCAAAATCAAAGAAAATTTGCTCATTTAAATTTAAAACATTGATTTAGTTTTCATCATTCAACAGCGTTTGATCAGAAATGAGACTAAATAGTGAATAGACCAATATTCTAGAAAATATTGGTATGCTCACTAATTTTATATCATGTCTGACAATTGGTCCATTACTTTTCCAAAATTCACAATCAGGTCCTGGCTTACACTGATATTACCGGAACCATATAACCAGAACCAAATAGAATCGGACCAATGTTTATGTTCAAACTGACTGGCTTAGAATTCATGTAAGACAAAATGGATTATTCTGCAATATGCCACATAAAAAGTATTCTGTAAATATATAATTATCATAAAATTCAAATCGGTGATATCCTGCAACGCTCTAGTGTACAATCATCACCTTTTTATTAAGTATCTACACAGACCTTTAACTAGGGATTCTACTTGGCCTATATGCACCCCAAAACAATCATCTAAAGTACATGTATACGCATTCACATACACCAATCAGTATCCAATTTAACATCAGATACTTGGTTATATTGCATTTCTACCCAAACCTTTCAATCAAGATCCTACCCAAAAACAATCATCCCAAGTATCTGAGTTGGCACACACTAAGTGGATTAGAATCCAAAGCTAATATCTAATACTAATCCCAATGTGAATACAGTCTTACTGTTTGGAATATCTTTTTGCTTTTTATAAACTGAGAATTATTGACAGCCGGATCATAAAAACACAAAACCCAGGTTCCTCACCAAAAACAATGGTACTTCACAGATTAAACATCAGTTGTGTTCAAAGTTTCCTCATATAATTGAAACACTAACCCAACCCTCTTCTAACAGGATCAAGTCAGGTTCCTTTAACAAACTCTTAGCTAATAATACTTCAGAAATCCTTACTTAAACTGTCTGAAAATCTTTTCAATACAGGACAAATTGTTTTCAAGATTGGAAATGCCAAATCTTTCGGATCTCCATAATTAATCATTGGTTGAGAAACATTTATCTGCTTTCAAGACTATAAATTACCAAGTTTATTTTCATTTCATGTAAATTTCCTAGAGATTGTAAATGGAAAGCAAATTAGAAACGTTATGTTCACTGTTCATTATATCAGATTTTTTTTTTTTGGAATAAGAATATTAGATCAAAAATCTTACAATCTTTGTATAAATTTTTACACCTTAACCAATTATTACCAAACCAACTGAATAGAAAACTATCAAAAACACATCTTTTTCCAAAGGTACTGAAATGTCAAAACTCAAAATGTCTGCTTGTCAGATAAAAATCTGTAACCCATAGCAACTAGTTTTCAAGCTCCATTAAAATTCCAAATTAACTAGATAAATTCCAACAAAATATTAAGGATAGACATAAAGGAGGGCAAGTAATTACTAAAAAGGTTCAAATCCTGTCCCTAAAGAGAGAAATTCCATGATTACATTCCTTCCAAGTCTGCTTAACAGAAAAACAATATGTCTGACTTGAGAAGAGCAGACGGGTAGCAAATCCAGACAAGAAAACTTGGATAAAACTTCACAAAATCTTTTTCAAACTCACAAAACTCACAGAAAGGTCCCTTGACAAATGTTTTATGCCATGAAGACATCCTATGAAGGTACGATGGTCCTACCTTACTACCACGGCGTCGATTTAGATAAGTCGGCATGTTGCCCCATTGCCTAGTCCCTGCTCTACCTTGTTCTATACACTCCAATTTCATAGCAATAACTACTGCCACAGATGGAGGAACCGTAGATTATATTATCCAGACTCTTGCGAAATCAGGCTAGCTAGACTATCTTAAACCTGGCACAGCTTTAGCATCCCATGTAACTTCAGATACCCAAAATATCTCCAAGATGTAGATAAGAACTACCAGTTCATCTGACACACAATATAAGCTACATTCGCCAAAAATACTCTAGGTAGATATGAATGACCAGTGACTGGGGCCAAATATCCAATGTAGACTAGATCTACCAGGGTTCACTGCACAATTCACTATTTAAATTGACATAAACATATCATAGATGTGAACAACCAGTACATTAAAAGTATAGTGCCACATCTGCTTTTAATGTTAAAGTAAACTAGATCAGGTTATCAAGTTGTTCCAGGTTCAGTGCCCCACATGTGGTAGATAAGATTAACAAGTCATTTTGTGTCCCAATAAATCACTTTTCCATTTTTTGTCTAGATTATCCAGACAATAACATCTAGCACCTCATTCAATTAGCTTCTTAAATTTCTTTAAGTAGCAGTAGTTATCCAGTCCCTAAGCAGGTCTAGGCTTTGTCAGAACACCTTCAGTGAACTATCTACTCTAAATATATCTTTTAAAGAAGACACTAACATCCAGTCCCATATATGCAGATGCACTAATACTGACATGTAAAATGGCACTTGATAATAAAGTCTTGATATATAAAATCTTCCCTTTAATTGAGGGTTGAGGAATCAAATATTAAAGTCCTGGTCACAACAGTCAGAAAAACAAAGGCATAACAATGCTGGAAGATAAGCCAAATGGATAAACAAATAAGGCACTGGACAATCAAGTATTTTGTGCCATTGAATTCGTTTCTGATTGGTTGTAAGGCCTTTTTCACCTTTTGGTTTACATCTACCAGACACCACTAAAATGGCAAATGAACATGTGTCATTTCAGTACTGGATGATTGTGAATAAGAATGAAAACAAGTATGTAATTGGATACGGGTGTAATATACTATAAATAGTATTTAGTTGCTAGTGGCTTCTGAAGAAGTGAGTGCACATGTCAGACATTCCTATCTCTATGAGTGAGAGATTTAGGGAGTGAGTAATGAAGATCAGGTCTATAGAAGAGAACCATGTATCCAGTAGAATTACGATGTTACACCATCTACATCTTCTTATGAGTTCATCAGCTTTTCTTGGTCAACTGGATTACATTTTCCAAATGGAATTTAGGTCACACATTTTCAGGAATGTTCCAAAGAAGAATCACAATTACACACCTGGGTATTATTACTCACAAAAAAATAATTATGCAATTGCGTTCTTCGCTGCTTTAAATTCACAACAAAACCATTAATTCTCCAGAACTAAAATAATTTTCCATCACTGCATTGTATTTAACACACATAAAATTTAATTCACTTCAAAAGTGCTAAGTTCGTTGATGGCCACTAGAATAAATATCACAGATTAGATATAACCCTCCATATTTTCACAATGTTTACGTTATTTGTTGCAAGCTTGACAGATTGTTGCAATTAATAAAATAACTTGACACAATTTTGAAGATATTTATTTAAAATATTCTTCACTTACTTCCACGGTTAATGCAAATTCTGCAAATTGCACAACAATAATCAACAATTGGTTGCAAATTTTGGTCATAAATTTGATGAGAACCACTTTATTCGCTTATATATGCACAATTTTCCAATTGAAGGCAAACAGTATATTTTCATTGTATGTTGCAAAGTTCTGCTTTGATCCCAATGTTTTAAAATTGCATAGAGTCATTCTTTAACTTTCACAAAATAATTCCAAGAATTATCTATCACCACTGTGTTACCAAAAAAATACTTCAGTCTGGCCCATAACTTCTTACAAACTAACCAGTTACATTTTTTCAGACTTTTAATATCTAAAACTAAAATCAAATCAAACCACTGAGTAGGAGTTCTAAGAATGGTCTTATCTTAAAACAGTCTTAGAAGTTGGATATCATATTTCACACAAGCCTTTAAAAAGATAGAATCAATTAAGGAGCTTATCTGGATTTTTCAAAGAAAGTTGATAATTTGTTTCCTCCTGTTATCAAAGATTTTTATTTCAAAGTTATTGAATATCACCTTGCAGTTTTAATGTGTAATTTGTTTTTAAGGTATTATGCAATATATCTTAGGTTTAACGTACATGTCAACTCCTAATAACTGAACATTTCCATATTCAGGTGATTTTTTTTTTTGTAATTTTTAACAGAATTGAATGAGAACCATAAAAATTTTTGCCAACATTGTCAATGTTTCAACACATTTTTAGATTTTTCACGATGCTGTCAGTTGAATAAACAATGTCAAAATATTGTGTCATACATGAATACTATTCCTGAATAACATGGACATAACTAGAGAGCCCACATGACATGGTTTTGATATTACCATTTTGGATTAAAACAAGCAAACCACATTTTTATAGCAGATTGTATCAAATTAATGCAATATTTCATTTTCTTAAAGGAGAAGTCACAGTTTCCACTGGTCTCTGATAAATAAGTTTGCTTACACATGTAAATCAAAACACCAAAAGGTAAAAATTAATCTTGCTTGCTATGTCTCACATGCTTAAATTATTTAGTCATTGAGAGGACGTTCTAGAGCCTTCCACAAAGAATTAAGCAATTTTATTAACTTCAGTATATTTAGGATTTCTCCTTTCACTTAAAATTTATTCATATTAAATATTCTGAAATGGCCAGATATAACAAATTTAGTAAGTTTATAACTCTTAAAATTGTAATTGGGAGTAAACTAAAAGGGTACAAACATATTGAACTGATACAAAGGTCAAATATTTGAAAACAAAGACTAGTATTATAATACCCTATACTTACTTAAATTAATTAAATATTGTTAATTTATACGATGCCAGATGTTGACAGATTATATTGATGTCACTACGGGTTGGGTCTATTTCCGGAGTTAAGATTGAAGCATAGTGATATGGGGACACTTCAGGAAGTGTGTTATAAAAATAATCAACATAACCATTTTACATAGTCTAATTACAACCTTCCTGTATCGCAATGAAATAATATTTAATCATGTCTCTTGTAATAATCTCAATAAACCATATTAATTATGTACAAATTTACATCCTCAATTATTTGTCAAAATAACAAAGAACACAAATCTTTTTTTTACTTTTTTAAATTTATCCAATCATATTATTTTTTGCACACTTTTGAGACAAATCTGTAAAAAATATTTTTGACATTGGACATTCTATTTTCAGCTTTTATGATTGTTTCAAGTTTACAGCAGTTTTGAAGGAGCTAAACACTCCTTAGTTTAAATGAAATCAATACCTCTTTAAGCTAAACATTATGATGCTAAAACTTTTATAGGGAGTTGACATATTCAACACCTTTAAAATTGCGGTGAAATAAAACACCTTTGCTTGTTTTTATTTTTTTTAGTTCTCATATTATTCATGGATAATTATTGCCTTGTCTTGTTTCATTCTGAGATCTGGGTAATATCTATTGGTTTAGTCACCAATAACTAAGCTATGAGTGAGATTTATTTCGTTGTATGAACTGCATTTAACATTGTTTATATGACACTAATAACTATGACTTACTTACTCATTAGAATATGTTGTCAGCTAATATATTGTAATGTAACACGACATGTTGCAATTACTTTCTACTTCAAAGCAGCTCTTCAGGGAGTGTGCACCTCTTTGATTCCAATAGTAATGGAATGAATATTAATTCCACTGTGTTTGCCCCTTTCACGATAACGATGCTATAATGAATTGAATGAATGTGATCTTAATGTCTAGTGAATACTACAGCTGCGACAATTAAAATTATTTTTTATTTTTATTTTTAGTTCCATGGTGCCTGTTGCTATTATTATACAATGATAAAAGGTAGGTTTATGTGTAAATTTTGAATAAAATATGACTAAAATACTGTTTCAATATGCATACAAAGATGATGGCTGAAATAAAATTGAACATCTACACAGATCTCAAGTAAAATGATGAACAATGTTGTTAGAAAATATAAAAATTGGCAAAATTCACTATTACTGATTAATTTGTTTTATGAAGCACAAAACTTTATGGAATACAATTACTGAATTTAATACAAGCAACATTTCAACAAAAGTTTTCTTGGTCATTATCAGGATCAATGAAAAACTACTACCATTTAACTCAGTATTTTATTCTATAACTACATGCAAATACAAGCAAATATCATTGAATACAGCCATTGAATAACCTATAGTTGTATTCAATGGCTTGGAAACGTACTAATTTTGTCCAGAATGAGGTCACTTTCAGAATTACGTCAAACTGTAATGACGTCACCACTAGGCAACCACAATTTTTTTTGACAATCTGGATAGTACAGATTTGCATGTAGTTATAGAATAAAAACAGAACTCAATGACCATTGAATACCGCATGGGTTATTCAATGGTCATTGAGTTCTGTCTATGTATTTCATCAAGTTTTGTGTTTTATTTAATGTGAACAATTACTAATAAAAATATGTTTCTGTTGAGTTCTATACATTTGTTTTATAAATAATTAATCTAGTTTGAGGGGAATTTGATATATCTAATAGTTGTTGAAATCACTTATATTATATAATGGGAATCTTTTAACTCCTAGCTTTAATACTGATCTCATAGATTTTCTATCAAAATAAGTAAATTTGTAATTTGCTTCTACTACTCCAGGGGCTAGTTATGATCATGATAAGCAGCTGAGATTGTGTTATAAAATTGTTAACTTGATCTATAAATTCATAGTGTTTGCAAACCAAAAGGGAAATAGTGACCAGTTTAGATTGAGTATATTATGTAAATGAAGATATGGCCTGACATTTGATGGCCATACTTATATACAATTTATTATAATAACCTAATCATTGTAATATATCTCCTATACAATTGTTTTAAAGGGACAACAAGCTAAATGTTTAAGTGAAGAACAGAGTTTATGACCATATATACACAAACATATTTCTATATTCTTGATTTTTTTTTCTAAAAATTCTTTGTTAGAAAATTATTAAAATAAATTAAGTTTACTTTCTACTGATCCTGTTGCCTTCTTTATGCATCTGCGGTAAATAAAATAATAATAATTGCAGGCTGACACAAATCAACTCTTCAAAGCAAAAATTAATTGTGGGTCAGCAGAATTCTATAACCTTATAGTGGGAAAAGATATAAAATCTAATATTAAATTAATTTACAGTTTGGAGGACAAATCATTATTAAATGTCACTGGGACATGAAGCCCCTTTTTAAAAATCTTCTAAATTCTATCTTTTATCCAGTCTATTCTAAATTTGGTTTCTAAAATAATTATTTTGGATACTCTGATCTACAAAGGGTTAGTTAGTACATACTAAGCAGAAATTTGTGAATAACATTGTTATTTCACATGGATTGACAATACTTTACATGGCTGACATTTTACAATAAGAACACCAGAGAATTGTGGTGGTAGATGGTTACTACTCAAATCAAATTATCGCCATCATTGACTACTCTAACCCAATTCTACAATCAGTACCATATCTAAACTGAATGGGACAAAATTTTACTTCGTTATTGACCGCTCTGAACTAATTCTGTTTGGTATCAAACTAAAGGAATGAAATTTTACCATAATCTAAAGTTAATTAGACTATGGAGCTGCTTGTGATTAGACTATTATTCAAATTTAATTACAGCCATTATACATTAATCTATAAAATAACAGCTACTATTATTACATCTGACCCAATTCAAATAGAAAGGAAGAAATTATATTAAGTATAAATACATCTGGACTTTGTTAGTATTTAAATTAATTCAGGAACTGATACTAAGCATTAATTCTAACCAAATATAAATTCAATTTGACATATAACAGAAATAGAATGGACTGACCTACTGTCCATAGAAGAAAACCATTACATTGTGTTAATTATTAGATATAAATAAAGTGCTATTATTCATGACATACATGTACATGTACTACCTTAATTTCACAAACCCTTATTTTTGATCTTTTATTGTTAAGTAATGCTTAGTAAATTTAATAATCAATGACATAAAATTCTTTAGTTCAAAATACGGTAGATTTTGTTGTACAAAAATTATACCATGGTTACAGCAATCTAATTAAAATTAGATTAGAATTCCGCTTCTCTCATTTTACAGATTTTTAGACTGCACTGTAATTTAACCAACTTTTTATCATCACATCTAGCCAGAAAGAATAACATCTATATCAGACAATTGTATTCCAAATGGTAACCTCTAAATCACTGAGAATCATTTTCATATAAGCATCTTATAACTCACTGCAATATGCAGCACTGTATATTAATACAGGTATGTTTCATGTGTTGAACACTGACTTCAAAGAAATAATGTCAGATGTTGATGTTATTGTTAAAGTAGCTAAGTCCATAACTCAATATCATTCAAATTCTTGGACATTGAAAACATGAATTGTCAATTTAAATCAACATTGATCTTGTGGACTTACCGGGAAAAGATGGGCTTCTGATGATATCCAATAGTTAAGACAAAATAAACATTTTACCATTTTTTACACAAATCATGTATCATAAAGCGTTTCAGCGCCATTTGTAACAAGGGCTTGAAGAACGAGGCTAGACATATTCCATAAGTCCTGTCAAAAGGCGACGTCATATTCTTATCTGGAGAGCATGTGCAATAAATACTATCGGTGTAGACTGGAATAACCAGACGCTAGAGATTGCTATTCGATTGAGACTTCTAGCGTATTTCGCTGAACATAACTGATTTGAAATTAAAAGTAAAAGCGGGAACGATTGAATGTAAATCAGTTTATATACATTCATATTACATTATTATATGCGTTGCGACCTATTTGTGTCAATTTCTAGATCCCAAATATTAGTGATTTAGCTCCTTTAATGTAGTACAAAATAAAAAGTCAAA